TTAACTTCACTAAATTTTAATTTTATGTTAAATGACTTTTAGTTAACTTTCATACAAACATTCAGATAAGTATATGTAATTACTAATTAACCAAGGCTAGACATTAACGAGCTAAAAAGTTAATAACTAAGTTAATCATTAACTTTTAACTTATCTTTTAATGCTAGATATTATTATTTACTTAACTTTTTACTCAGTTTTTTTTTTTTTACACTTAATTACTGAATAAATAACAAGTTAAATTTATGGTATTTTAAACAATATTAAATTTATAATCTACATAGTACCTATTTAAATTGGTTCAAATAATTTTTTTTGTATTTACTCAATAATCTGTGTGATCAAAATTTAAAAAAAGTAGAATAGGTATCATTTTATATTCCCGGAATAATGCACCCGTTTAACATTGATCATAACCCAAGTTTACCAAATCATTTTTACTATAGCAATATCACCTGCAATTGTAAACAAAAATTAACTTATCAGAATTTGAAAGGTTAAAAAAATGTACAAACTAATTTTTAACTTCACTTAGTTGATACAACTATTAACTTTTAACGTAATTATTGCAATTTCACAATATGTAAGTACTTAGTAGATAGAAAAGAATCTTGATTTTATTTTATTTTTTCGATTTTCAAAGTAATAATAATATTAAACGTTAAATATTACATAGGTAGGTGGTATACGATATACCTACATTAAATGTAAATTATCGAGTATTTTATGATCTATAAAATACCTATAACTATTTAAATACTAGATGGACTATTATTATTTTTATCAATGTCATATGAGTGCAGATAGAAATGTGTAATGCAGCGGATGACGATTATGGTATATAATATAGGTATAGTAAACATGATGACGTGATGTTTATGCACTATGCAGTTCAAGGACAATACTACATCCATATTAATATTTGAACTCAGTAATAGTTTATAATGTTATATTTATCTAATTATTTAAACAAATATTATTTTAACATATTGATAAAATGTAGGTAATTTTCGTACTAAGTACACCAAAGTACACTAACTGACGAATATGTTCGACACATTTGTTGTACCCTATTTAAGAAGGTATTATGATACACCACAAACATTTTGTTTTATTTTAGTTTCAGTTATTCTGTGTTATTCTTAATTTAAACAAGGTTAATCAAAAATGTATCTAAAACGAAAAAAACGATTAAATTACAGAACAAACTTTGCAAATAACCAACCAATAATATTATTTTACCTACCTATTAGATTTTACGAACGTCGATAAAAAAAATATATAAATAGATACGTACCTACATATTTAATTTTTTAGACATGAGAATATTATTTTAATTTCTTTTTTTAAATATACGGGTTACCCATTTTATATAATACATTGATATATACATCATGAGTACCTATACCTACCAGTGCCCAAAATATACCCAATTTCAAATTACAAACATTTTAGTTCGATGGGCAGATTCAGGGAGGGGCACGTACCTATATTACGTACTTCACCCTCTATCGATCTGTTTGCAAAATGTATTAGTGTACATTTTTAATGTTAATTTAGTACATTATTTTATTTATATAGATAGGTACCTAATATAATTATTATATTTTTTGTGCACCCACCCACTTACCCTGTAATAAATGGTTAACATTTTTCACGAAATGAATAGGTAACAGATTTAACTCTATCAGTCTAATTTTTGATTAATTTTCATAACACAGGCAAATCTTCCCTTTTTATTGTAGCACAATGAACACAAAATATATCTAGACAAGGATGAAAGATACACCACTCATTTAAATAAAAAAGATGAATATTTTAAAATTATATAATATACAATATACCTATACCTAGGTAATTTTTTTACCAAAATATTATATTTAAAAACAGTTGGTACTGCTCACGGGTATAAGGACAATGTAATATTTTAGAATTTATTATTCCAAAAAGTTTGTACATTGGTCATTTTTTTGGAAAAATAATTATTTCATGAAACATTTGACTGCAACATGAAATTTGGAAGATCCTGTATAAGTGACAGATGTACATATTTGATAAATTATTTGTAACCAGGCCGTAATAATTTATAAATAATACATATATCACTAGGTAACTTTGAGCTGTTTTTTTTTTTTTTTGTGTGTTTTTAATAATATTAATTAATATTATAATAAAATGCACAAACATTACGTAAACGTAATCATGTAATGTACAATGTAATAGTCCCGAACCTTAATTATCCCCAGTCATGTGTACGGCTGGAAACCTTTCAGATTTCAAGATTTTTAAAATATCGTAATTTAACTACTGGCTGTCTTTTGTATGGATTAAATATATATGTATCGTTTAGGCATTAATGTCTATTGCAGACTGCAGTAAAATAGTAAAATGTAATCACTAATCATTTATTAATTATTTTTAACAATTACGTGAGCGAGTAAATTATACACAAATAATTGCTGAAAACGGAAATGCCGCTGAAAATTACTTTTCTGAATAGAACACATATAATAATACCTACATCACCACGAAATCCACTGTTGTTTTTAGAAATATTATCTATTGAGTAATAACACAGCTAGACTTCTGACCCAATATCCCATTGATTTTCCGTTGTATTTTTCATTAATGGGACCCATTTAAACAAAATACTCCAAGGGCTATCGGTGTGCCAGGCCGACGCTGACCAATAGGCCATTTTAATATTTAATAATACTGATTTGTCAACAAAATTACGGTTTTATGTATTTCGACAGGATCCTTGAAAACTCGTAAAAACGCGCAAGTAGATATCTATTGTCATTACTAGGATTAGGGACTTTGAGAGCGTTCAAACGAGAAGGACTTCCCAAATTGAGTAATTTTTCTTAAATATTTATAATAATATACAGAGTGATTATTTTTTAGCATGCTCACCCCATCTGTATGGTTAAATTATGCATAAATTAAAATTTTGATATTCGGAATTTTTAAGTGTAATTAGTGAAATACGATAATTTCGAATACTTAGATTTATCACAACACTTAAGGAGTATCCTGAGACAATACCGACTTAGGTTTTTCTAATGAGAACCTACATGTTTTAATATAAATTGTCAACCAGATGATTTGTCTGAAAATATTGAAGTATTTTAATCGAAATTCGAACATTTTCCGAGTGTACATATAGGTAGGTTGGTACTATTTTCTTATTGAGTACCACTTATTATATATGCGTTTTTCGATTTACATTGTTCAAATTCATAAACACTGAGGCACGATAACATAATCGAATATACCAATCATAAAATAATTAATTTAGTTATGAAACAAGCATTGCGTTTGATCAATAACTTTACAATCATTAATCTCAAAACAAAAAACATTTACGTAAATACCATTAATATTAATGAAAAATAAATAAATAATATTCCAAGTTTGTAGAACACAATTTCAATAAAAACTTTTTTAGAGCATATTCACATATTTTTTAGAGTTATAAGTCTCTTAGTCTAGTCATTATTAAAATAATAATAGGGCCTCGAATTTATGTAAATCGATTAATCGTGTATTTACATATTGATAATAGTACAAGTACAAAAAATTATATTGCAATTTTAAACTCAGACGTCTATCAAAAGTTAGTGGCGCATTAAATAATAGTCCTTTTTAATTTTCTTAATAAGAGAAAATGAATAAGTCGTAAACTAGGAATTTTTAATGAACTGCTTCTTAGTGACTTGGCATTTTCTCTGAAAAGTACACCTTAAACATGTTAAATTTTAAAAATATTGGAGCAATATTTAACATATATATAGCTTTTTAAAACTATTAAGTACCTAGGTACCCATTTTTAATTTTTTGTGGATAAATATTTTTGGCTTCTCAAAAATAGTTGAATATTTAAAGTTTAAACCAACATTCGTTATAAGTTATACTGTGATAAAAAAATTGAGTCGTCATTTTTTTTTTTTATAACCATTTTAAGTTCAAATTTGTTTAAAACATTGTAAATTATTTTGAGTTACAAATTAATACAATTTTAATATTTCAACAAATCTTTAACCACTCTGAATCATTTGTAATGATTTATACAACGATAAATTAAATAAATACTAACACATTTCTAACTTCTCATCTGCAACAGTGAGCTTCTTACGAGTAGTATCTTTTTTTAATGATTTAACAGATGTAGTAATCGTATTATATACTATTTGTTTTGCTAGTTAAATTATGCAAACATATTTTTTTTATTTAGTCGTATATAATATTATAAGAGTGCCGTGTGGATTATAAGACATGCAAATTATATTGCATTATTTTTGTCCCCACCAAGATGAACACTTAAGTGTGCCACTGCTAAAGCCCAAAATTACTGCTACGATCAGTTTCAGTTTGAAGTTTTTTCTGCTTGTTTAAACATTATATTTCAAAAAATCAATACAAAATTGAACATAATGAAATTATAAATATCGTAATCCAATTTGATATTGGTTGCAAGTATTGTTGAAACATTGTTATTAGCAAGGACAAAAATATATTAATATAATATAATAAATGAGTAATTTTGATAAATCAATATATTTTGGCTATCCCTAAGGTATAGTCATCATCAGATTGCTCTGTGTCAGTCAGTAGCACAGAATGTTTTGTTACAATTAATTTGCTCGGCCGGTGCCAATATATCTGGCAATGACCTAAAAGGAAACAACCGAAATGTGCTTTTTTTTTTTTCAAATTTACAATCGTTCAGCAAGTATAAAAAAAATAATTTTGTTTTTAGAATGTTTTAATCTATCCCAGAATAATTTTGGTTACCTAGTTATATGAAAACTGACAAAACAAGGATTAAAAAAAAGAAAAAAAGTAGATACACCAACAGAAAAATTGTTTAATTGTTTTATATAATATTTGTTTTATTTAAACCTATAGAGCTTTTAATAGACTTGGATTCAATGTAAGTCTTTGAAATATTATCCACTGGTTATCTAATTAGAGAATAACTTTAAAAGCTGAAAAAGATTACACCAAACCCACTTACTAAGTTAGTAACAAAGGAATACATAATGTGGAAATATAATATAACATATGACAAAATAAGAAAACAAGTAGGTATATTATAGGTATAGTAGTATGATATATAAGTTATAAGTATAAAATATTATTGTAAAAAAAAAAAAACTTTATGAGAAATAAATGTGCACTATTGATGGGTTTATGCTTAATCGACAATAACTATATATAGTATTTCACAGAATGAATCTAACAACAAATAACGACAAATAAATTAATACATTATTACGAGTTTATTACCGATTTGATATTACTTTATAATGAGTTATTATCAGATAAAATTAAAAAGTAGATACAATATCATGATTTCTGACAATGATAAATATAGGTAAAATTAATTTTCATATGATCAGATATGAATATTGTTTTTTTTTTTTTTTTTTTTAGAAAAAAATCTACAATAGTTTTAATATTTTATTACTTTTTAACTATATAGATCATACAAAAAATATAATATGTATAGCAAAAAATGTAAATACTTCAAGTAAAACAGAAAAAAAACATTTAAAAATGTTGCTAAAACAACTACATTTAATTAAATAGGTATTAATATGATATTATTTTAAAAATATGATGGACAATGTGTCAAAACAAGGTACACAAAAATTGCTGTGATAAGTACAAATAATATTGACAAAAGAAAAATGATATTGGAATATATAAGTGCCCAATTGGTTAATGGTGATTAGAACACTAACATTAAGTTCTTTCAAATATCAAATTTCATTGTTCAATTGATTTTATTGTTAAGCTAAGTGTGCAATAAAAAAAAAAATAGTTGTCATGGCCCTATTTTTAAATACATAATAATTAAAACGAATTGACATACTAAGTATATAATAATTATAATAATAATAATAATAATAATAATAATAATAATAATAATAATAATAATAATTAATATAGGCTGCAAAAATTTAAAAAAGAAAAAAATATTAATGATGATTTTCTGTATCATTTAATAAAATGCTCTCTTAATAACTAATAAAAACAAATTGTTTTATTAAAAAGACTTAAATTGCACTATTTTTACAATTTTAACACTTAAACATTATAAAAAAAAAAATTAGTATCTTCACTACAATTATAGGCAAAGATCAACAAATTTAACAAGAAACAATTTTTTTTCACTGTACATTCGTCTTTTTTTTTTTATACTCGTAATATACTATAATTAAAAAAAATAAATTAATAAAAGTAAGTCCTCTAATCTATAAAATTGTGTATACTGATTAAAAATGTGTTTACATTTTTATCATTAACAAAAATATAATAAATAAAAGAGAAAAATATTATGAAATGTATTATAATCAAATAGTCTATATTTTATACCTAGAAATTGTATTAATTATTATTATTGTAATTTGATTAGAACACAATAACAGCAATATGGCAAAAAATGTATATAATTAAATGTATTTACATAAAAATTGTATGTATTTAACGTTTTTCTAATTTAAAATACATAGTAAAAAAGTCTGTAAATACGAATGAGACTAAAAAACATAGAATATTAAGAAAAAAGCATAGTACCAAATATGTTTAAAATTACATTTTTAATGATAAATTAGTTTTAAAAAAATTAATTACGAAAATACTAGTAGTAATTAAAACAAAAATAGGTAACACTCTTATACAGGAAAATTAAAAAACAATAATATGAGAAGACAAAATATTGTCAAACAAGATGTGATGATAAAAAAAATAAATAATAAAAAAAAAAATGAATAAATACTTCTCAGCAATAAATAATATAATATGTTGAGCGATTTTCATTTTAATGTAAAGATGGTTAAAATTTAGTAGTAAAATGAGATCTACGAAATATATGTTTTTTTTTTTTTTTTTTTAAAAAAAAAACCCATATATCATGTAAACATTTCCTGAAACTTTAAAGGGTAGGTAGTTAAAAATTTCCAACAGTTTATATTATCCAAATAAAATGATTAATACTATTAGTTATTTAATAAAATTATGAAGGAGACTAATAATTTAAATTAAAAATGAAAATATAATATTTAAAAAATATATATATATATAAATAAATATATATTATATATTTAATTTAGAATTATAACAATAATAATACATAGATAATGTACATTATTAATATTGATAATAATATGCATTTTAGAATATTAATAAGCTTTATGGTCTAAATTACTGCTTGGTATTGTTGATGACTATTTACTCCCAAGGTATTTTATTGAGTTAAAACTATTATGGGATTCACCATCGTCTATAACTAGTATAATATATTAAAATAAAATAATTTCGAAAATCAATGAAGTACAATAGTCCTTCTAAAGCATATACTGACGAATAATACTTAAGTAGAACAAAACAACTATTTTTTTTTCTTATTTATTTATTTTTTTTATTTTTTTTTTTTTTAAAAATTGACATTGTTTCCAATTCACCTACGCATCAAACTGCAGAAATGATAAAATAATAAAACGAGGAAGCCAAAATGTTTGAATATCTTAATGAATTATCACATGAATGACTATATTAAAATATATAGTAAATAATTATTATTTATAGATATATAAATTGATTTTAAAAATCTAATAATTTAATTAATAACAATATAACTATAATAATTAAGAAAGAGGTCTTTAAAAACAATAAATATTATAATATAGTTACTTTTAAAACAGGACAGACAGCAAAATAATAACTCAAACATGGCCAAAATGGCCCATGGTTTTTATATTACTCTTTTTTTAAGGCAGGAAAAGGAAATCAAAATAAAATAAATAAAATGTTGTTTTAGTATGCTATTCCAGTCTTTACAAGCCGAAGAACTAGTATGTATTGAGTGACTGCTTTGCTGGATGTACCCATCAAATAATTGCTCTGTAAATTTATAAAGACATTTTTTTTTTTTTTTTTTAAATAAAACACATAAAATATAATACATATATATAATTTAACACACAAACAGGCTTATACTTTACAAATTAATATAAAAAATAACTAATAATTTCCTTTCAGAAAATTACGGTCTTCTAAAATTATTGTAACTAATCAATATTTTTTTTTTAATATTTCATTGGATTTTTATATTTAATTATTTAAGATAGCATTTTAAAACATTTTTGTATGCATTAGTTTTATTAAAACTTTAAGTTTGACTTTTGCTAAAATGCCGGGAAACATTACCATATAACCAAATGATAAGCCAACTTTTAATCAATAATGATTGAATCTGAAAATATTATATTTATTTAAGGTCTAGCAGCCATTTTTAATTTCTTATAAACATTAATATAAATATATTAGGTTCTTTGTAAATCATATTTTAAGTTTTTCATTGTAATATTAAATTAAAATATATCAAATATTTATGTTAAAATAATAAGTGTAAAGGGTTACAATTTATTATTAGTAATATGGTATAGTTCAAAATGCAATATTTTGACATGGATTTCGTTAAAATTGGATATGATTAGATTTAATTAAGAATATTAATATACATGACAAAGTACGTAGTACAAAACGTTCAGGTTTATTAATTAATATTAATAATGAAAGAAATTATGATCATACTTGAAAATACAATTTCTATAGAGAAGTTTATTAAAAATTATAAAGTAAATTTGGAACAATAAATCATTTACATAAAATTTTACTATAATATTTCATTAAAATAATACAATTTTATAACATTAAATAAATAATTTTCAAGTATATATTATTAAAATTACCGGATAAAATTAAAATTCATATTTAATTTGGTGAAATCACTTACGAAAATTTTTTATACACAACACAATTTTAATAAGGAATTTAATAAAATAAAAAACATGACAAAGTAGATATAAACAGGCCTGTATATAATAACCCAGTTAGGTTTTTTTGTTCTTTCTCGAACAGTGGACCCTTTAAAATTATATATATGTTCAAGTATTACACACTTAACACACCCAACATTTTAGCACTATTTGTAATTAAACTTAAGTTACACGCAGAGAATGAATTTTTAAAAAACATTTTCTTTAAAAGAAGAAAAAATCTCCATAAATTACTACTATAAATAAAAAAGTGTACTATTTAAATTTTTTCTTACGCCTACTTATATTATTTTTGCTATTGCAATTATTAGCAAGTTAATTATAAAAAGAACATCTGAAAAATGTGTAGTATATCATGTAATATAATTTTATACTGAATCAGATAAGTAAAAATATAAACTATGCAGACAATTTTTAATTATACTTTTTTTCTGTTTTAATTTAGTGTAAAAATTAATTTGCAGCATTTTATTTTACCATTAATAATATGACTTCTAAAGAACTGCAATTGTAATATCACAGGGGAAAAAATCTATTAAAACCTACCCTGATAATATATATTATTAGTATAATATTATGGTATCACAGTAAATAAATTAAATACCTTAAATATAAATTGAATATATAGAATTATATTAAAATACTAAAAAAAAAAATTTAAATTGAATCTGATCTTACTTGTTTTCATTTGGATATAAATATTAAGGGAGCTTAGGAAGAAAACTCATCACAAATCCACCAAGAATAACAATGAGAATTGTCAGGCATATCAGAATCATGATTTTCTTCTAAAGAATTAAAAACAAATATACATTAGTAGGGTAAAATAATTAACACTCGTTTTACAAACAATATTCTAAAATACAAAAAAATGGGAAAGCTAATAGCAAAAGCAAAAAAAATATGTGTTTTCACAAACAATGAAACAAACAGTGCATATACAATACTCATTTAAATACAACAATACACAAAACTAAACTATAACTAATAAAAATGAATAATATCTTTTGCTTTATACCCCTTATTAAAAATACGAGTAATTATATAATTTGGTTTAATGTAACAATAGACTTGCCTTTTTTTTATATATATTAACTGTAACGTGGAATTCTAATGTTGTGTTATATTAAAAAAAAACATTGAAAATATAAATTCATAATATATTATAGTATTATACTGTTAATATATTAATAAAAATGTCTGAATATAAAATATATATAAATATATATATGAAAGTATAAATAAATAATATATTCTATTGACTAAACCTAGATGTATTTTATATCAAATATTTTTATTCTCAATGAAAAATATAATTATATTGTTTAGTTTATTTATGATGATAAATAACTTACCTTTCTGGAACTTTTATGATATTCTTCAGCAACATCCAATTCTTTTTTGCCTTCAGCTACTTTTTCAACAGTGAATTGTACATGATATTCTATTCTATCAATAAGTTCACCCTGTATGGTTTATTTTTTTTTTTTTTTGGACAATATTTTTTTGTGGAGCATGATTGGGATAAGGAATTATAAAATAATTATGAAAATCCCAAAATTATTCACGCAAAAAATAGTAAAACAAAATCAAGCGAAAAGTTTTGAAAAGGAAAAACAAAATAAAATAAAAAAAATGTTTAGTATCATTGAAAATATAAATACAAAAATTAAATAAAAAATGTAAAACCATTAATCATCTAATATTTAAAAATAATAAATTATTTTCAAGTGTCAATATTTTTATTTGTATCTAGTATTTTAAATAATATTAAAAAAAATTATTTATGAAAACGAATACTTCACAATAAAAAACTACTATTAAAACATAAATTATTCAAAATACAAACTAACATTAAATAGACAATAAAACCTACAAAAATACAAACATATGCATACAGCAAAGCGAGCGGGACTAATGCAGACATCTACATGTTTTGACTTACTCTTCTCGCTTTGCTTTGATATTTTAATGCTTTCTTAGTATCTTGAGTTGCCGTCTGAACATAATCCACGGCATGTTCAACATGATACTCAATTCGATCAATCATTTCACCCTAATTTTTATTGTTTTTAATTTATAAATTAATAGGAAACTTAACTGTATTTTTATTATGCAAATATTATACAAACGTATTATATTAATAACATTTTACAATAACTTATTTATATAATTTTTTTTTGTTATTTTGGTACAATTTTAATTGTTTTAAGGTTTAAATAAATTGAACACCTACATTGGTTTTTTTTTTTTTTTTTTTAATAAATACATTTATTAGTTTAACAAAACTATTGGTTAAAAAAAGTTTCAATTTTATTTACAAACATTTAGTAATACATTTTAGCAAATAAATAAAAATAATAGTAACATACGATTATTCAAAAATCCTTTATGAATTTAGGAAAGTGATGACTAGTATCTGAGATTAAAATATTGAAGTGATAATCATTCTTCTCTTTACTCATTTTGTCACAACTTACGAGCAAATATTATATTATGATTTAGAATTTTTAATTATAATGGTAAACTAACAATTCAGAGCGGAGTATTGCAAACTAGTAAAATATTTTATGACAACTAATAGGACATTTTAAAAATATAATAACTACACAGATAGATTAAAAATAAAATTATTAAGATTTTGAAATGTATTGAATATAAAAAAAATTAATTGTATATAACCTTTACAAAATTAAATAAAACTACCTAAATATAAATTTTAAATATAATTATTAATCTAAATCTAAAAACAATAGATATAATCATGAAATAAAAATTGTATTATACATCAAATGCTTATAAAAAGTCTCAAGAATTATTATTTTCTGAATTAAAATAAATTTATATTAAAAATAATTTCATTATATTTTATTCTATTTTCTTATTATTTTTTTTCAAAAATTTAAAATTAGCTTAATATGTATTTAGTTGTCTATTTATCAAAAGAAGTGACATTTTATAAATCTCTTTCTTTGAAAAGAGAACAAAATAAAAATAAAATGTTGTTTAACTAATAGATGGCTCACTCCGCTCAGAATTTAAAAGTGGATAATAATACAATTTATATTTGAGTATACATACCTGATTTTCTACCAGCATAGCCATATCCATGAACATATCGTGGAGTTCCCGAATAGAGTTCTCTAGTTTTATAATATCAGCATGCCTAGCTTCAATATCAGCCAACGTTTGTCTAGCTTGTTGTGTTTCCATAATTATCTAAACAAATGTCAATGTTAACAATTAACAACAATATTATAAAAAAATAATTACGCCTTGCGTGAACACAGCCGGGTTCCCTTGTTCTAACATCTCTTCGAGTTCATCATTAGTAGTTGTTCTTCCCGCTAAAGTGTAAATACTTGAATTAATAAAAATCAATAATGGTAATAATTTTTTAATTGTAATTGTAATACTCTATTTCAAACATCAATTGTATTATACAAAACAAATATCAATTAAGTTGACTAAAAAAAGCAATATAAATATATTTATTAATATTAACTAAGGAGCATAAAATTCTTACTTATTTCTAATTGTCTTTGAATTCGGCCTTTACAACGTTCTCTGTAGTCTGTCTGTGTGCGATTATATTCTGTCATAACTTCAACAAATTTACGTGACAATGTTGAATGTTGTGTTTTACGTATCCTTAAATCTGCTGACGATTTGTTCGATTGCTCTTCTGCTTCTATATTCTGCTCAATTTCTAATAAAAAATAAAAAATAAACTTTTATAGAACATAATTTAAAAACATATATAAATTATTTTTTTACAACCTTTGAGTTTGGCACGGACTCTATTCGCAGTTTTTTTTATATCCACCATTAGATCTTCCAGTTCTTGTTTCACTTCTAATAAAACAAGTAGTTATCTTTAATTAATAAACAATTATTAATGAGTAAATTAAAACATGTTATACATACAACAAAATTTACAAAATAACAATAATTAAATTAATACGATTTGTATAATCATTTAAAATAGTCTTTCATGACAATAATAATTAATCTTGCCATATTTATTTTAGTTTATTTCAAAGGGAGCTGTTTAAGTATTACGTAAGCACATTTTTGGCCTTTCTAGACCTCCCTACCCCTTCTCAGCAAATGACTAACCCTTATATAATTATGTCATAATAATATATATTTATATATATATATAAAATAATTGAATCAAACTGCTGACATCCCATTCCATCCCATCTTATGTTCACATATCACAAGTATAATGTTACCTAAAAAACGAAATAAACACGCATAAAAATGAGGCACATGCTTTAACTACTTATCCCATTAAGAGTACGTTATACCAGAGCCCCACATTTGCTGTCTCGGTCCAACGAACGAGCAATAAAGTAAAATATACCTTATGCAGACTGTGTAAAGCTCTCTCAATTTTAGTTTTAGAGCATAAACACAAATTATAAAATTAAAAGAAGACATCATTCCGGAGGGCAAGACTATGCGTTTCTTTTTTTAAATTCATTTTTTGAAAAATTATAGTAATTTAAAAACGATGTATTGAACGGATTGAATGTATTGAACGTATAATCGGATTAATATAAAAAAACGCACAGTTTTGCCCTCCAGAATATTATCCTTTCTTAATTTCATAGTTGGCGGTTTTACTCTAAAACCAAAAGCGAATTTTATAGTCTACATAAGGTATATTTTGCTTTATTGTCGCCCGTTAGTTGAACTCACACAGCACATATCGTCTGAATTACAATGTGCACAAATAATTATAGTACGTGTTTTTTATCGGCTCGCCAGTACGCCGTCAAAAATGTATTGCCCAGCCATAAAGTTGCATTAGTGTGCCGTTATTGTTCTTACAATAATTATCGTGATAAATGATCTATTTTGTTATATTATTTAAATAACGGATACTGGAATTACATTTTTACAAAAAAAATATGTAACTAAAGTGAAATGTGTGAAAAATGGCCACATACTATTTATTATGGGACCGCGATGGCGATGTCAAAAAAGAAGTAACTGGAAGGAAAAGGGTTTAAGAGTAAATAATTGGCTAACTGGTTCTAGACTACTAATGCACACAATTGTCCATTTTATATACTACAGGGCTCGAGAAATGTCTTAAAGTAACATTTTATAAACGTGAATTTGAAATAGGACAAAATGCTGTAGTAGCTTGGAGTAATTATCTACGTGAAGTATATGTATGGAAGTTAGAATATAATTAAAATAAAGAAATTGGTGGTCCCAATCTTTTTATCGAAATAGATGAAAAATTATTTTGCGTAAAAAAAAATAATGCTGGACGTATTCTGCCACAGCAATGGATTTTCGGTGGAATATGTCGGAAAACCAAAGCGTGTTTTATAATTAGCGTACCTGATAGAACAGGAGAAAACATTATTACCTATAATACAAAAATATAGAAAATCAAACTCAATAATTATATCAGATTGTTGGAAAGCTTACAATAATTTGCAGCAAGCGGGAATCCAGCATAATAATGTTAACCACATCCATAATTTTGTTGATCCGCACACAGGGGCACACACCCAAAACATCAAGAGGGTGTGGGGTTCTGTTAAATGGGGAAATAAAAATCGTCGTGGAATTAATAGAAATGACGGGGCGATAAATGTTTAACGGCGTACTGGCGGGGCAATAACAAACAAGTACCATAATTATTTATACAATAAGCATATTATATTTTAATAACTCTTTCAAATTATTAAATGGACATGCCTCCTATGCCTTATGTGTGTAGAAAATTGTTAATTCAATATTTAAGTGTAACCTATACAATTTCCTTTATTGGTAACGAAGATTTACGAGATTTTGGAACGTTAAATCAGCAGTCAAATGATTTATATGGTAACGGAGACCCTTTCAAAAACGTTTGTTTAGATTTGATTGTAGATAAAATTAGGAATTGGAAAACTTGTAGTTTATTAGAACTAGACATTTTGGCAGATCCTCGAAGTCTATAATCATAAGACTGATCACAGAATAAATGGTACGATATTATAACTTTCGTTTGGGTAGGTATTCATTTCAATTTGTATTTATTAGCGGACGAAAGAGAGACTAAATTCCAAATAATTGGAATTTCGGTATCATTAATTTCAAGTAGATGATTTCTTTTTTAAAATAAATGAAAGTAACGTGGAATGATATACTACAATAGTTTATTTTATACTATTATAATACGAATTCGAGTTATAGAATTTAACATCTATGGTTATACATAAGTAAATTAATAACAAAAAAAAAAAAAAATGGAATTGCGTAAAAACAAACTAATCCTTAAAAATTATTCATCTCGGGGTGAAAAAAAAACACAGACTTTTATGATAATGACAGAAACCGAGACCAAAGACCTACGCCATTCCTATCCAACGCCCAAATTATAATTCGGCCACTAATTATTAATGGTCTTGATATGACGATGTCCGGTATTCAAACAAATAATGTCTCGATACCACGATCGATTTAATAAAACCAACTTATTCAATTCCATACACACATACAAATATAAGTAATAACGAATGCATTAGGTAATAAAAAAAAATATATATAATAATAAAAACTATCTAATTAACATTATACACCTATACTGTGTATTATACACTGTACCTATACGACACTAAAAATAAACCAATATGAAATCCTTCGAATTCGTCGACACTTGACATTAAAATAGCTAGGTACCTACTTAAAAAAAAGAATAATAATAATAACGAGCTATACGATATTCGAAAATTTTAAATTATAATTAGAATAACGTGTTATAATAATTAACCTTTTGGAAAAATGTCAAATCGTTATATTTTAAAAAATTTAATTGTTACAAATTTACTACAAAATGAAAATAAAAGTGAAATTACGAAAATGTCCAAAAATCTATACAAGTAATTTAAATTAATAAAATCTATAAATGTTTATTAAAAAACGGTCAACGATGTTAAAATGTTAAATAAAATTGTAACAATTTTTAGATAATCAATGTATCGGTTTTACTATAATGTGTGTTTTTTTCCCCAAGTTTGGCATCCCAGATTAAAAAATAAATAATCGTAGACTTGAAATTTTCACTGAATACTAAAATTATAATATAATATTAGCCCTTTTTAGATGCGGTAAGCCAGTACTATATCGATCGAAACAATTAAAACCTTAACGAATATTCGAAAAAAAAAAAAAATACAAAATCCAAACATATTTCATAAAAAGTAAACGAATACGCGTCACGCATCATAGGGAGGAAGGGATATTTAAAATGTTTAAGATATTTTCTCTCGGGATTACACACACAAAACCCCCGGACCCGTTTCAATACCGTGGATTTAATTTTATTATTTATTTATTTCCGTAATTAAAATAAACGTTTTAAAAATTGAATAAATAGGTATATTAATAGAGGAAGTAAATGGTATATATAGGTGGATAGTAAAAAATATATATATATACATATTAGCTATGGTACCTATATATATTTAGTGAGCACAAATAGGTTTTTTCTCTATACATTGACCCTTAATACACCCCTGAGAATAAGTCTATATATATATATATATATATAGAGAGAGAGAGAGAGAGAGAGAGAAAGAGAATGTACAATTATTTTAAAATTACGGGTAGAAATAAAAAACAACGAAATAGTACACGAGTTTATTTGACAACATTCATCGAGTCGTCAAGGTGACTAGACTGTATATTAGACAGAGGGTAGTGAACGAGAGGAGGTTCGGAGGTTTAGGGCGGGTGTATCGATTAAAATCACAGTACGGGCGAAGAGACGCACTATACCTTTAATGTAACGTATGAAATATGATCGAAAAAATAATAATAATAAATGAAAAAATGGCGCAACAAAATACTGCAACAAATTACTTTAAAGGCGTATTTTTCTGACGAACAAAAACTACCATAGAGGAATAATATTTATTTCGTAAAACCAATTAAATTAAAAAATAAATTGACGAAATATACGTGTACGTACAAATACGAAAACGCGGTTCAAAAAAGAAATTAAATACCTAACCGATAATTGTATATGAATTTTGAACGATATAACATTACACGGCACACGGGATTTTTTTTTATCGGAGTAAAAAAAAATCGACTCTTATTGAAATACCCGCGCGTGTTATATTTAACGAATAACAGCCAATCAATATGTAAATAACGGTATATTAATTACCGCCATAATATGATATGGAAGGAATTCTCAGAGGAAGTTGTATAAAGCACACAGTGCGAAGCAGTGTTTCAAAATGAGATTTTCCAAAACTCCTCCAAAAAAAAGTCTTCATTTTTAAAATTATTACAATCGAACATTCATTAACATTAAATTCGCATAATTTGTTGTATCGTAATACTAGATTAATACTACAGTGAATAAACTAAATGATTTCATTTTTTGTTTCAAATTTAAATATTTATAGACGCAATTTTTTATTTATTTTTTTTCTTAGAAAACTATTATACTAGATGAAAGAATATTTTCAAAACTACAACACTATTAAATTTTGAAAATTTAATAATGATGATAAACATTGAGCAGTTTCAAAATATTCCTCTTTTTATTATATTCAAAGATTTTAAAAAATGTCCTATACAAACCTTACTCTAGGCCATAATTAGTAACAAAATTTAAATAGTTCTCTAGACATTAGTATTAAATAATGGTGTTTTAACTTCATTGACATCGAAAACTATTTTTCTATACATTTTTAATCATCAAACTATAATAGTATACACATAATGGCTACAAAAAAAAATATATATATATTTTGTATTTTATAACAATAAACAAGGGAATACCCATATAAATAAATTTGTTCAACATTTACATTTACTTTAAAAAATCACTAACATCGCTTAAGGAGTATTTTATAAAAATATAATACACATTTTTAAACAGGGTGCTTTGACTGACCATTAAAAATATACTGGGGATTTTTTGAGGTGGAACTTTTTTTCGTTGGATTAATTAACCATTTATCATACAATGACAATATAATTAGACATTACAATCCTAAGAGGTAGCTATATAATGTATACTAATATATATATTAAGAGGTCACACCCCTAAAACATTTAAGGAATTACTTATACTTACTTATACTTCCGTATAAGTAATTTCAACCAACAATTTACAAAAAAAATTAAAATTAATCAAATTTGTTTTCAAATAAATGATTTCATATCATTATTGTAAGTATATATTCTTACTGTGTATATTGTACACAGCATAAAACACATTAAAAACCATGTCCAAGAAAAACAAAGAACAACATCAGGTGATGTTGAATAGAAGCTAGTAAACGGAATATAGTTATAAAATCATATACTCATTGATAAAAATGAGAGATAACAACGTTATCCATTAGGTGTGTATTGATTTTAAATTTAAACAGTTTTTTGATATAAGAATATAAGTAATTATAAGAATTACTATGGATTAATGGTAGTAGAAAAATATAAAAAATAACCAAGAAAAAAAAATTAACCTACCTAATAATAATATAAAACTTATGTTCCAGATTAAAATAAAAAAAAAGTAAAATAAAACACCAACTCTAACTGCTTAAATTTTAAATACACGAAGATAATAGGATAATCACTTTTGAATATAATGATAAAACCATATGTGTATTTAGTTTCCATACACCCTCATTGTGAAAAGTATACTATTAACCTTTTTCATGTATGAAGTGCAGACATCACAAAAAAGATAACTTTAAGAACATAAAATCTAAAAAATCAATAAAATATATATAATATACATATTATACTATACTGGTAACCTAATACAACACCCATCGTCAATTTTAACAGTCACGTTAAACCTTTTTAAGCACGTATATTACGTCACAGGTATCAAAATCTCACAATTTAACCCACTCATAATTTATTACAAAAAAAAATATATTTTTTCCCCCATAATATTTTTTGTACTTATAAAATGATCAAAAATTCAAAGTATTCTTCAATAAATACTAATCATTCTTTGTGATTTCTTTTTTCAAATATTTTTATAATAATCAAGAAAGTACTAAATTCAAATGTTTTTAAAATAAAATCTATAGGTACATATAGACAAATGATAATTTACAATAATGAAAATCACCCTGTACTTTGTGGCACACAATTATATATTATATTATACAAATAATCAAGCATCAAAGTTTTCCGGAGTGAAAATATATATATTTTAATGGCTTTTCTATAGATTGTATAGGTTTTTTTTTTTTGTAATGTTTATTATAATATTTTACATTACAATTATTTTGTGGAGATAAATGTAATTAAAAATGTCCTTAAATTATAAATAATATTAAATTCAGTTTATTTTTGTACATCATTTTATAATTTTTGTAAATGACCTTTATTACATATTATGAGGGCATTAACCATTGCTCATATATAATATTATAAACTTATCAATCCACTGTTATTTTTAATATTTATTGTTATATTTTTATATTCCACTAGGTTTGAAAAAAAAATAAATTTAAAGTCGATTACACATAAATTATTGACATTGACATAATTCAATTATCTAATAGAAATATTAGTTATGCATGTATTAATATATTATTTTTTTTTAGTTCATATATTTAAAATCATTATTTTCACTACAAACAGACAAATATAAAACTGACTGTAAAACACATTTTTAAAATTAATACTATAGATACCTATACCAACTTTACCAAAGTTTTTTTGTTGAATTCAATAAAATTAAGACTACCTATTTAAATTATTTTTTATTTCTCTAATATTAAACAAAATACTGAGGACTGAGAATACTGAGGGCCCACTAAGTCTACTTGTGCAAAGAAGCCCAAGAGTGTTTCTGTCCTAACTGTATATATTTATAATTTATTTAAAAAAAGCTAAAAAAAGTTTTTATACATAAATATAAATAATAAACATAATTGCTGTATTTAATATTTTTCTAGTAATAATAATAATAATAATATTTTAGTCCTGTAAAATCAACGTTACATTAATTGAAGTATGATAGGGAAGTTCAAAATTTAATAAATTTTCAGACAACATGGTTAATATTTTTGTTTCCACAATTTCAAATTATAAAACAGTTATCATTTTAGTTAATTGAAGAATCTTAAAAAAAGGATAAATTTAATTACAAATTTAATAATTAGTTAATGTTATAAACTATATAGAATGGTTTTGCAATGGTGTTATATTTTTATCTCGACAAAAAATTGTTTTATATAAAAATGGTAACAAATCTCAAAACATTACATCCGTTATTAAAATCAAGAAAAAGATTAATTTGAATAAGCATCAAAATTTATTTTTGAGCTATTTACTGTTCATTTTATTTTGATTCTCTTATTCTTGTTAATTAATCTACCTTAATTAAGTTAAGTAATCTAATGATAATTACAAAGTAGAAGTAATTTAAATAGTGAAAGAATATTCTCAAATTATATGGATATAATAAAATATAACTGGTCTACATTTTAGATTCTATTTAACCATTTTTGAGTTCAAAACTGGTCCACAATAAGTAACATTAGTGTCATCATAATATTATTATCTCTTTGTCAAATATACGCCTATTTAAACACGACAACTAAATAAACCCATTACTTCCTATCATTATAACATACATAAAACCAAACGATTTACTATTCTGACGAAACCATCAGAAAAAAAAAACTAACTTACACCCTTATACCCACAGTCATTAAATCAGTTTCAACAGTCATGTTCGTATACAATATTTAAATATATTTTTATTTCATTTTATAATGATTTCAAAGATAACTACTATAATAAAATATGACATGCATAACAGCATCATCATACAATTTCTATTACATGACTCCAAAAAAAATGTCGATAACGGGTCTCATTGATCAATTGAAACTAAAAACATTGTCCCATAAAAAGAATTAATAAATATTCTAAAGTAATATCAAACCAAAATACAAAGCCTAGTAAGTTTTTTCTGACTTTTTAGGTTTTTTTTTTTATTATTATATAAAAAATTTAATCATGAAAACATATTAAAAAGTTAATATTATTTATAGTTCAAATTTATTACAAAATCCGATCTAGTCATTGCATAGAAAATGTGTGCGAATGTGTTGGTGTGTTAGACAAAGACAAACTATCACTAGTTGTGTTACCCAAATCATATACAACAAAATAATTAACATAAAAACATGTATCTATGTAAAGTTGTGAGAAATAAATGTATTAAAAACTTTCATTTGTCAATATTACATGAGTCTTTATTGGCATACAACAGTACAAAAAGGAGAGACTGTATGGTATATGTATCAAATATTCAAATATTGAACCGTAAGACTAATGGTGTAATTATGCTTCATAGCAGTTAAATTGGTTAAAATTAGTTAAAGCAAACCTTTGCTATCTATTTAATGGACATTACAGCAAAAATGTGTTTTAGTAATTCCAATAGAACTCAGGATCTAATAGATCAGTGGTTCCCAACTTCTGTTATTTTACATCCCGCTTGTAGCTTTTTAAAAACCTCTTGCCCCTTCAAAAAAAAAAAAAAAAATATTCATTAAGGTGACTTGAATATCAACTGCCACTGCTCCCTGTCGTATCTACACATAAATTGGTCTTGCTTGTAATTTTTGTATCTTTATCAATACCTAATTCGCAGTCATTATTAAACTTATTTTTTCCCTTTATTATAAAATACAAATAATTTAATAAATACAATGACTCTTTGCGCCTCCCTAACAATGTGTACACGTCCTATTGGGAAACACTGTAATAGACCTAAAATAAAAATTATTTCACCAACTTAAAATAACACTTACTATGCTTTCACATGGGAATTTTTGGTTATATTCATTATACAATTTTCTATTAAAATAAAAACATTTTTTTTTTTAAATTTGAAGTACTAATAGATTATCAAGGAATAAGATATCCAAAAATCCTCTAGGGAAAACATAGTAAATTTTTTTTGTCTTTAATTTTGTTAAATAATTTTTGTTTTAGATCTATTAGACCATGAGTACTATTGGAAATATGAAAATACCTTTATGCTATATTGCTCATTAAATAGACAGAGATAACAAATGTTACTAGAACATCTTCTCAAGAACATTTGATTTTTGTATTTCTTAATTTCATATGCTTTACAAATTAAAAGAGCGACAAACAAAATAAACAGTCAACAGTAATCCCATCCATCATGCGAAGTATGTTCGTAAGTTTTTTTTTAAATATTAATGATAAAAACAATTTTAAACTTAAATTTTCCAAGACAAAAATCATTAGAAATTAATTTTTTTTTCATCCAAACAAACTAAAAATAAATTTCACCAAAAATTATTATTTTCAAAGGGGAAATAATTGGCCATAAAAATGTATACTATTAAGAATAAACTTGAGAATTGCACATTATTGTTTGTTTTATTACTATTGTTGCGGACACAACTTGAATCTATCGCTAACAATGACTCTCTTGACTTGATTGTGTCAAGAGAAAAATTATGAACACATAATTTGAATACTGTGGTGTAATACTATTTGGTGTAAAATATTTATATATCATCTAATACAAATTTAAATTATTAATATTAAACCCAATAATACATAGAATAATTAAAATGTTAAAAAAATCTTTAATTTTGTTTTGTTTTTTAATTACTAAGTTTAGTAAGCTAAATAGAGCTAATAATAGAGCTCTGATACACTGTTTGATTTTCAAACTGAAAATTGCAAATAATCAAACCAAACCAAACACCCAAAATGTTGGTTTGAAAATCATTTGATGCCGATGCTGCAGGATCACCAATACAATGTTCTATGGTGGGACAGAGCGGCTTTGTTTTCGTATTAATGGGTCTCATAATCGTAAATCATGGAGCTGAGCAGTTTGAGAACCTAATTTTTTGATCTCACATAACCTTTTTACTTTTTAATGTCCGAATTCAATATTTAAAAAGTTAAAAAAATATTTTAAAAGTTTGGTGCGAATAAAAATGTGTAAGTTCATTTCAGTTCAACCTTAAAAACCAGGGTTTGTAACATATCTAATGTTTATAATATTAAATTAAATCTTTTTTTTTTTCATTTGAGTGATAAAAGAAAGGAGAAGCTATCCAATAATAGAACCCAACATGAAAATTAAAACTTAAGTCCAAACTAACGGAAGATTTAGAAAATAGTAATAATTCTGAATAAGCGTTTGGGATGTATATATGAAATGTATGAAAGAAAAAACATAATTTATAAAATATCGGTAAATTGTCATTTGAAAAAAGTTATGAAAAATAGTTAACTGAACATTTTATGAGTCATCAAAAATACTTAATAAATGGGATATGTCACAGAATTACCTATACAAATAGCTAAATGTATGATACATTAATTTTTTCAATGTATTTCTTATCCAACTAGGTATAGCAAGTTAAAATATTAAATATAAAGTCACATACTTTTAATTTACCATTTATCTAATCATTATTTAAGTACTACTTCTAAACAATAGAAAAACAGCTGTTAGTTTTCTTAAATATAAAATTATATTACTGAAAAAAAAATTGGTACTTGTTTTTTTTTTTTTTGTACTACTGAAGACAAATTTTAATCTCTATTCAAAATTAGCTAAATACCATATTATGTAATTATTCCATATTACCTTAATGAATGGAACAATAAACCATCAAAAAAAAAAAAAATACTCAGTGGAACATAGTTAATTTCTTTTTTCTATTTCATTTTGTAGCAGTTTTAATAAATGTTATCAAAAGTGTCAACTTCCAAAACTAAAAAAAATTTATTTACATTACAACAAACTTTTTCTAGCAAGTTATAGCAAACCATGTATCAGGCACACATTTTTGAGCTATTTTACTGAGATAAAAAAATATTTCAACATAAAATAAATATTCAATTTTAAAAACTAAATAAATTAGAATTAAAAGTATAAATAGTGAACAAATCTAGATATTTAAAAATATTTAAATATAGATTAATATTAAACACTTAAATATAATATGTAGAGCTTCCTATTTACAGTTTATCAGAAGCCATGTGATATTCTGACCAACAAATATCTACTGACCTTATTTTATCTGTGCATAAAATAATAATAGCATACAACAAATAGTTTACATAATTACTCTCACTCAAAAATATATTAGAGGTAAAAAAAATTATTATGTGCTAAGATACAAAAAGCAATTTTAATAAAAAAAAAATTGTAATAAAAACATAATAATAATTAAGTAAATATTATAATATTTTTCAATATTCAGTCATATATACAATACTAGGGCAGATTTTATAAGTTTATGTTTTTCGCCGAACATACATACAATTTTTTTGTGTCACATGGGTAATTTTTTTTATTTTAAAATACATAGTGATCCTGATGATGTGACATTGTGTTTTTAATGATTTTATAAACACCATAAATACAACCATCACACGGGAAATTTTTCAATCGCAAGAGAAGTAGAAAAGCTAATGGATGTTTTATCGTAATATTACTTATTTTTTTCTGAATCCAAGAATAACCACCAAACCTTGAAATAGTTAAGTTAGCATATTTTGTTTCTAGAACTTATTCAAGAAAGACAAAAATTAATTTTTTGTGAAAATTTGATAAAGAGCTTAATATATACAATTTGATAACCAGTTATTGGTTGTTTATGCAACTCAGCATCACTGATACACAATTCTACAAATTATATTTTAATTTTTTAACATAAAAAAAAATGTTTAAAATTGATCAAGAACTTCTAATATAGGGTAAAATTGTAGATAAATTAATTAGTATATTCTAATTTGTATTTAAAATACTACTTTTCATTTGATTATTAAAATTTATTGGCTTATCAATTAAAATTATATTTATAAAATTGAATTATTTTTAAAGATTATTTACATTTTCAAAAAAAGAGTTAGAAATAATATATTTGAATTAAGAATTCAAAATGTTTTATAAGAAAAACAATATTATTAAAAGGATATTTCATCTTCAATACTATTTAAAGTTATAGATAAACTTTCCTGAAACATGGAACTTATTCTAATAATAAAACAAAGAGTTAATAGTATACTTTAATAAGCGTATTTAGGAGATATGTTTGAAAAAAGAGTTTTAAAATGTAATTTTCATTACCAAGATTTTTTACTAAAAATTAAAAACCCTATAGTTAATTTACATTATAAAACATTTAATTGTTAATAGTTAATTTTTGAAATGATTATATTACTTTCATCAGTTTGTGGAGCAGATAAAATTGCACTATGCTTTTTCTTCACTTCTTCTACATTTGCTTGAATCTTATCTATCATCCCTCGGATGCCCTCCACCTAATAAAACATAAAAACATTGTACGTCAAATTTAAATTTAAATTAATATTCTATAATTTAATTTAATTAAATATTACCTCAAGCTTAAAATCGCACAATAAGGGTTTGTAAATTGAATTCATGGTTATAAAACTATGTATTACAATTTACAAACGAAAGATGAACGTTTTATTTGAGAGATAAACAATTTAACCACTAATATAATTATCTACACTAATTAATAAAGTGTTATCTTTAAATAGGTTTATCTTTTATTTGTTTTAATTACTATACATCAATAAGTGTGTACCAAACTATTAGTCTTAAACATTGTAATACGCATTAAAGTATTTTCATTTAGCTTATGAATAAAAAAATAATAATTTAAAAATGTTCTATTACAAATTGAAGTTAGCTTTCAGTATTACCAAATATATTAAAGCAATAAACGTGTTGTACTTCAAAACAGCCATATATTACCTTCAATGAACTACAGTAAGTATTATACATCACATAAATATTCACAAACATTAAAGAATAATAGGAATAAATAAAAAAACTTCTATATGAATCCGTAAGTAATATTTAGGTTAAGTACTACTAGCTGAATGTATATTGTTTTATGGAATAGTAACAAACAATTAACTTTTAGTGTAATTAAGTATGCTCAGTGTTGGAGTTTATTTTTATATAATTGTATGAAGTAACATATTTTATAAACCATCTACTATTTCAAATATAATATAATATGAATAGATATTTATTTATTCATTACAGTCTATCATTGTCATTAATAATATATAAATTAATTTAATGTGATAATAATATTATTTAAGTAGGTACTAGTTTCATTATCAATTGAAACAGTTTAAAATTAAATTTTATTTAACTCGGAACGACCTAAATTCAATGACTTATTAAAAATCACTTTTTTGAAATATTCTTGGTATTTAATAATACCTAAAAAAATCTTTCATACACTGTTTTACATACAAAAAACATAAATTCATTCCTTTATTTGCTTTGAATAAAAAAACAATGAATTTATAATAATTTAAATAATAATGTATTATTTTATATTACACACTTTTCCTTAATATCTTCAATGTAGATCTATACTTAATATTGTTATTATCAGAGCTTATGACTTGTAGCATTTGCATATTTGTTTTGAAAAGTTCTAGTAACACCCAAGTAAGTTATAAATTTGTTTCGGATAACCAGGAAGTTAAATCCAAATTATTGTTGTACATTTTTTAGTTTTAACTCAATTTTTATGTTTTCGACGCTATTTGACGCTTATATTGTTATTTCAATAAAGAAAAATGAAAATTTCCTACAGTTAATATTATATTTGTGTTTATCAATTTATATTTCGGTAATTATCATAAAATAAAATGAGATTGTATACTCATGCAATGTTTTTACTTGTGAACTTTTTACTTAAAATTTACTATTTTTTTTTTTTTTTGCATGTTTTAACATTTTCAGTGCATATATAAGCGTTTATATGGATGTTTATAAGAGCATATCATTGCGCTTATAATAACTTTTTTTAGAGCTACAAGTCACAAGCCCTGGTTATTATTATTGTTTTTAATTTGTATATTATACCTGTTAAAACGCAATCAGACTTTTTATATTTGTTATTTTAAATACAATGAATTTTGCTTAATGTGGCCACCGGTTAATGCAGGCAGCCATTTAATATGGAAATAATAGTCTAGTCCTAATTTTAATGTATAACAATTCAAATTTCAGTTAAAATGGGCAACAGTTTAATGTGGACAAATATAACTGGTTCCAGTGTGCCCACATTAAGCAGAATCTACAGTAGTAGGTTGTTGCATAATAAAAATCATAAAAGTTTAGTAGCAAAACATAATAATGATTAGTTTTACTAAGTTAATTATATCATAATACTTAATTACATTATGTATAGCTTATTCAAAAAACATTTAAGTAATAGCTTATAGTTCTTTTTACATATACAATTTGAAAAACAAGTATAATTTTCTGATATTTATTTTAATATAAAGAATTTTTAATGTTTTAAAAACTCAAATAGGTGCTATATACTAATGATAAGAATTGAGAAGAGCAAGACATATGCTCAAGATTTAAGTATTCGTACACAGGTAAATAATGTTTACAATATAATTTCAAATTATTTACAATGAAATATATTTACCTCCTCAAAAAATTTATCCATAAATGCAGCTCCCGATCCATCTTGCCGACCATCCATATTGACAGCCACATCATCAGCTCCTCCTTCTTCATCGTCACTTTGAGCCTAAAAAGGAAAAAATTATACTTTAAATTAATATGTTTTTAGAAACTTTACCTCATAAAATGCCTACATTTTAAAAATAAATATTATAAAAAAATTATCGATTAAACTAGTATTTATATTATCTGTAATTAACATGTTAAATTAAGGCTACCTGCCTATCTATTTAATACAATTAAAATTAATTATATATTGATATAAAAAATAATTACCATTCATAAGTAACTTAATCGGCATTAATAAATTGTAGTTTATAAGTAAGTAAATATGATTTATTAAGGTAATTATTATTCTCTGGATATTATAACTATTTAATATTAAATATTTTATTATATGTATACATGTGATTAAATTATGGATGAAGATCTTAAAGGTTAGTTCGCTGTAAAATGGTCATAAAGCGTGACAGGCAATACATTTAGTTTTGTTAGTTTTGCCCGTGAAAAATATGAAATTTATTATCATAAAAACTCCTACAAAGTAAAACTTAACCTAACTCATACTTCATGGAATATTTATAGATATGTCATATACAAATATAAAAAATATCTATATTTATTTAAAATATTTATAATACTTATCAATATAATTGTACCTGACTAAAAGATGTGTTAATATTTTGCATTGTATATAGTAAAGCAATGGATAACTATAAAAATATAATACTTTATAACCCATTTCACCTACAAAAATATTTGATTTGAAACATTAGTCCTTATTATTTAGTAGCCTATCATAGTTTATGGTCTTGAAACAGATGAGATTAGGTGTACCTGTAGATATATTATAATACATAGATACACACACATCTTGTTCAATATGTTTATATGATATTATCAAACCCAGAGTTAAAACATTTTTAAAATACTTTAAATAAATAAATACAATTGTATAATAGAATAAAATATTTCAAAAATATAAGTATTAAATCCTAATAATATACCATAAGTTTTATAAAAGAATAATAATTGCCTAGAGAGATAATATATTTTAATAATATATTAATTTATTATAATATGTACCTAAAGGTATCAAACTAATCTATATAACTAGGTAACATAAATTATAATTAAATATAAATAGGTACCAAGATACCTTTACCTGTTAAATGTTAAAAGTTACAAAGTACAACAATTTAAAATTTGTTGGGTTGATTCTAATTTTAACAGTTAATAAATTGTTGATTGTTTTAGATTTATATTCCGTTGAAATTATTTTATAATTGTTTTAAATATCTACTAATATTGAAAAAGCATTGAAATAATTTTAGAGAATACCTAAATTATGTTTGTAAATTAATAATATTTAAAATTGTTCGAGTTATGATCCAAATAAAATTTTAAATCACTAACTCAAAAATTAATTTGTAAATGATATTATGTAAGTGCACAATTCAGTTTAATAATTTATGTATTATCATTTTATTAGTAATACTCAGCTAAGAATAATTATATTCTGTCTATAACCGTCCTAAAAATGTCATGATTAATTAAATAAAAACCGCTATATTTCAATCAGTTTCCTTAAATGAAGTGATTTGATAACCACAGTAGATACCTAGGTATAGCCAGTGGGTAGGTTAAGTAGGTAAATCGTAAGTTTAAATCAATTTGTATACACTAAATTAATATTAATAGGTCAACCAGTGTGAGGTTGAGAAATTTCCATGCAATTTAAATACTGTTCTGATAAATATTTTAAAAATCATACCGCTTTTAGAGCCGCTAGCCTGTCCTTAGCCATTATTTACAGTATGGAAACGCGAAACGGATACACAGACTAGCTGAAAACAATTAGGTCTCATAAACGCGTCATTTGTCAAAAGCAGTAAACACGAACACGAGTATACGCAACACTAGCTAAAACTTAAAAAACGACCGAGTAAAACAATAAAAAATTAACTTTTATTATAATATACTCTGAACGTGCGGAAAACTCGAAAAAGGGACGAGATAAAAATCAATACATACTTCCTAACTACAGCACTGTCAGCGGCAGACCTGCGAGTGAAATATTGCGCGGCTGCGCGCACCGTGGACCAAAAAACGAATCCAAACAGTATAGCCAACATAATAAATTTAGCACCTTTCGGTTTCGATAGTATTGATCAATATTCTTCAATAATATATTTTATGTCTATTATTATTATTCGTACATAAATCGTAACCATAATAATTCGATAAGAGATCGAAAACGGGGGCAATAAGAGAACTGAATAAGATTGTTTAGTCACATACACCATCACAGGTGTTCGATTTTTCTTTTCTTTTTCGAAACGTATGCGACAATGACGATTAATCGCACCAATTGTAGATTTTACAACTTGAAATTCGCCCATCTTATATACTTATATAATTATGAAATTATTTGGGAACGGATTCGGGTGAACATAAGTATGGGTACATAATATTATCTAATTTGTATACGAGTCCCACGCACGCCATTGATTTCCAACGGTTCGTGTAGCAGTTCAACCGGTAGGCGACTAATACCTCTCCCCACGCGCATACCTACAGCATGATTCCGGTCGCTCGTCCGTCACCGACTACGACACGATCGACTCGAGAGTTTACAATCCTACGCATACGCCATAACTTCTCCCGGGACGTCATGCCGGATAATCTGAATCCCTACGGAAAGAAATAATACCCGTACTTGAAAAGAGGTCATGGAGATCAAGGGTCGTAGTAGTGTGTCTCCTGCTTCCACCTTCAATCACCATCATAGAAAGGACCTCGGTCTTCGAGTGAAATGTGGTATATACCACGTGTATCTAGTGGTTAAACGGTGCTATACTGTATTAAAAAAACGGACGAACACAATAACCTTGTGTAATAAATAACAATACGATACATAATTCCGTTATTATTATTATTATTATTATTATTAAGTCCAGTTCACCTAATTTTATTTACTTATAGCCCATAGATAGGTACCCACTATAGGTACTTCAAAACTAAATAATTACTTCTACTTCTGTAAAAATAGTTAGTAATTAAATAATATAGGCACCTAATATTTTATTAGTAGGTACGTATGAACACTATGAATAATACTCAACGATAGCCGAAGTCGGAAAAAAATGTGGAAGGGTTGAGGGGCTAAGCCCCTTCAAAACTTGTAAAGATTGAAATTAGCCCTCCTTAAATATACTAAGCATAATTTAGTCTTTATCATGGCTTCATCAGTGGCTTACAGAGAAATTTTGACAGCACATGCAGTTAATAAAATTATTACCCACTTACCCAGTACTAAGCAAAAAAATACAAAAAATAAAAATTGTATCTCTGTTTTATACACATCCCTCCATTTACAATTCATAATGAGCAAAAAAAAGATGTCCTAGGATAATGGGGTTGAGTGCAGCAAGAAGACCAAAATATTTTTAACTAATATCTACATTTGTTACCATTTCCTGTTTTTCCTCCAATTTTTGGGTTTTCCCATTTGCTGAAAAAACTCATTATAATATCGAAAAATAACCTTATAGTGATAACAGTTTTTCTAAAAGAAAATTTGACTGGAGAGGTACTTTAGAAAGGTCATTTTTCGATTTTCTCAGGAGTTTTCTCAACAAATTTGGTTATTTAATTATTTTACCATAATATGATGTATATATTATTAACAAAGCAACACTATTAACCGAACTCTGCTTAGAATCGTTTTTTGTTAGCAATGGTTTATTGTTGCTTACAAGTATACATTAAACTATTTATTATAGTGGCTATTTTTTAGTTTTTTTCTACAATTCCCTCCTGTGATCATAATAAATTAATATGTCATCATCATACCAAACTTGTAATATTATGAAGGCTAGGGTTTGTGCTTTTCTTGTTCAGTATGAACAATGAATGATCTATCATGTTTTATCTAGTGTCCTACTCTAGTGGTTAACTTTTATATAAATATAAAGTATAATTAGTATATCGAAAACACAACACAATGCTGCCCAACCACCCCAAGTTGTGACAACCCATGCAGTTACATTACCTGAAATCAAAGATATACGCCACTGATGGTTATAGCAAAACACAAATTGTACTCTCTTGAATTAGAATAGATAATCTTATGGTATCATGATTATACAAATAATAAACTGATACGTCTTTTACAGATCCAGTAATAATTTTAGCTACTATCAGATTTTTCTGCAAAAAGCAATTACATGCAGACGTGTACCATTACATAACTTATAGGTAGATAAATATTTCTTAGAAGCATTATTGGAGCATCAACTTTTAAAGTTAATAAATATGGTGAAAATCCAGGATTAAGCGAATTAAGAAATTCTACTGAATAATTAACTGCATGATCTACTTCTAATACTGAATTTACAGATCTTTATTTCATGGTTGAAAAGAATCTAATAATATTTTATTTATCTCTGCTGCTGAATCACTTTTTTATGTTAAAATAGATCTCCCACATAACCAATCCATGGATTTATTCTTGAGATTTTCAATACCAAAATATAGTTTAAATAATATTAATAATTATAAAATGTCACTAAGGTACCTAACCAATGAGCAAACAAAAATAAATTATTTAAACATTCAGATAATTGTACCAAAAACATAATAAAATGCTTATTTTTGCCTATTTCAACCCCTTAAAATCAAAATTATTCAAAATACTTTCTTATTAGTAATTTCACTCCTATATTTTAGACTATAATATAAACATACCCTGAAAATTTCAAATAGCTAGCTATCATAGTTTAGGCAGAACATTGACTATGAATCAGTTAGTCAGGATTTCTTTTTTTACGAATACAAATTTGGAGTATGAAGAGTTATCAATAAAACATAATAAAATAAATTATAATTTAATATTATTTACTAGGTCTATATATTGCCTAATGTACGATGAACGTCTTATAGTAACGCCCGGGCTTCATATAAGATGCCCAGGAATAGTAAAAAAATACCTAAATTATTTACTTTTCCCGTAAAATATATACAAATATACGAACTATAATGAGTCGGCTAACCTCTTAAACCTCTATACTATATATTAATTCTAATAAAAAGATGACTAACTTCACTAAATATAGACGACTTTATAATATAATAGTCATGGCGTCATACTTATTCTATTACTTTTTTAAACAGTCGGATTACCAAATATATTTATAATACATAAACTATGCACTGTAGATATATTTGTATGAAAATGTATTTTTAATTATCCATAATAATTATTCGACAACAATCTTTTGTATTTTCGTTTTTTTTTTTCATATCGATAAGTACCTACACTTATAATTAGAATTAATACATACATAAATATACCTATAGGTTATATAACGATAACATAACTACCAATAAATAGCGATGTAAGTAGATAACTTATACCAGCTCTACATTGGGCTACCTACTTTCCATAAATAAATAACCTACCTATATGTACATATATATGTGTAATATAGATTTAACTGTCCCTAAAAAATATAATGCAAATAATTATTATAATTTATATTTGCTACATAATACATAGGTTTGCATAAGTTAATACCTTAAATTTTCTTTTTGTCATACACATTTGTATGGATGACACTGTGTTAGTGGTAAGTTTAATATTTGACATTAAGAGCAATTAATTTATATATAGGGCCCGTGATTTCTCTTCACAGCCCTGAACAGAACATTATACGTTAAGTGATAATAAAAAACCAAATTAAATTCACAGGAATCAAAAGGTACATATTTGATTGTATATGATGTGTTATATGAAGTATGTACCAAGAAATGAAATGACGTGGATGTCATTGAATTTATAGTAGGTATCAATGTATTTGATGTAAGAGCAGTCGACGAAAATCGAAAATTAAATATCCCAAAAGAAGTGAAGCGTTTGAGGTTCAAATTTTTTCTTCGACTAGAATTTTTTTATCATAATTAACATAAAAGTTTATAAGTATTGATACATACAAATATTATAGAGATATCGTACATAATTGATAATATTATTATAATTAATTTTACAATGTTAATATTGCCGCCTAAACATTCAAATTTATTGTATGACTATACTGTTCGATATTTACAACAGTTGGTGCCACTGTCTACTGTAAAATACTTTATGCTATTCGCCAGGTTGAGTTGTGACATGATAGCGGTATTGAGGGCGGCCCTTTGACGCCATTCCTTGTTTGCAATCACGAGCGTGTTTTTTCTCTGTGTTGCAAGACCGTTGGTTAGAATCCGTTACAGAACGTTCCAGCATTTTAATTCACTTGAACATTACCTTCGGTTTGCCGCGAATACAAAAAATACGTAAGTAATTTCATTATTTTATTACAAAATTATTTCTACTACGGTGAATTCAAGTTAATATTGCGACTACTATTTCTTGTGTTGTGAACTCTGTCCTAAACTTTTGGTACGTCAAATCTTAGGTTATAATGTTACACTACCAGTAATCTATCATTTTATTTTAATTTGGGTAGAATAAGTCTTTCAATGTTATTTGAAATTTTTAATTAATTAATCCTTTTGCTGTTCATACGATTTTTGTCATTTTTCAATTAATTTTCTCTGAACCATGTGATTTATGTATTGGTACTGTAATATCAAAATAAATTATAATATCATTGAAATTTTAGTTGTTTATTGGAATCCATTGAAAAGTTTTAATCATTTACATATAGATAATACATTTTCAATATTAGGTACTTATTCAATCTTCAGAACATTTGTGTATACATTTTTGATATTAAAGTTTTGTAATTCTGTTTATTAGGTTATGTATTTTTATCAAAGTCAACACTTGTTATAAAATTAATTTTTACTTTTATATAGAATTAAGTAATAATGAACGTACCTGATGATGTGCCCACATTTAAGTGTGTACTTGTTGGTGATGGTGGTACTGGCAAAACTACGTTTGTCAAACGGCATTTAACCGGGGAGTTTGAGAAAAAATATGTTGCAACGTTGGGTGTAGAAGTACATCCACTGGTATTCCATACTACTCGTGGTGTAATTAGATTCAATGTATGGGATACTGCTGGCCAAGAAAAATTTGGAGGTCTTAGAGATGGATATTATATTCAAGTAATTATGCAAATAGTTTTTTTTTCATTTTACTAAATACCTACTTAATTTATGTATTCTAATGAATGTCTAAAAATTATTCCAAACCGAAATAAAAAATTATAATAGGTGCTTAAAATGCAGAATCTATAAAAGTCATATAATGATCGATTTGACGAAAATTTTAATTTTCAACTCCTAAAGACAGAAAAAAAAATAACATTCACTTTAGAAGATTTTTAAAATAGCCATTTTGTAAAAGAATTAAATGTATTATGTATTTATATTTGATGAATAATTTTTTAGTTACAGCTATTTTAATTGAAAACAATTTATACCTATTCAATAAAATAACTCATTATGTGATAAGGAATGATAATCGGCACAACTCTTCTGTTGAATATTAATTGTTTCCATGTATTTTTCAGAAATTAAAACTACTAATTAAGAAACTATTAATCTAATATGAATGTATACCACTAACATTTTTAGAATATTTTTTTACAAAATAACTTTTTTGAAAATTTTCTAAAGTAAATAAGTAAAGTTATTTTTTTATTTTTTTTGGTGTGTGTTTAAATTAAAATTAAAATTGAATTTTTCTCCAAATTGATGTTCCCCTTACAGAAAAACCAATTGAAAAAAAAATCTAAAAAAATTAAATTTTTAAAGCGCTAAATAAATCCGCCTAACATGGTGGGTCATACTTTATATATACATATAAATTTATCATACATCAATTTTTTAGATTCTGAGCAAAGCGAGAAATGTATTTGTTTTACAATGTTTATTATTATTTTTTTTTTTGTGAACAATTTTTTTACCAAAAATTTTGTTCCCATTTTTAAGTATTGTGTTCTAAAGATGCTAGCATCTTAGCATTAGATGTTCTAGCATCTTTTCTGGAACAAAAAAAGTTTTCATTAATGAATAGAAAACTTATGAAAATATTATTTTAAAATCGTAAATATTACAGTTTTTCAAAACATGTATAACTGAACTATGCTGCTCAGTATTGTTTTTTTGTTAGCAATGATTAATCATTGCGTACAGGTATATATTAAATTTTCCCCTCTACCTTCCCAACTTTTCATTTACAACAGTGTCCCACCCATTATGTGAAATATGTGCTTCTATATTCATTGAAAAATTATAAATCTTGTTTAAATTACGATAATATTTTTTTATTTTTCAGGGGCAATGTGCTATTATTATGTTTGACGTTACTAGCCGTATAACTTATAAAAACGTACCAAACTGGCATCGAGATTTGGTTAGAGTATGTGAAGGCATTCCAATTGTATTGTGTGGTAACAAAGTAGATATCAAGGATAGAAAAGTAAAAGCAAAAACAATTGTATTTCATCGTAAGAAGAATTTACAGGTACATGTAATTTTCTGTTTAAAATGAATAATTTTAATACTCAAACTCTTTTCTTTATAGTATTATGATATCAGTGCAAAGAGTAACTATAATTTTGAAAAACCATTCCTGTGGATGGCTAGAAAGTTAATTGGTGATCCAAACCTTGAATTTGTTGCTATGCCTGCTCTTGTACCTCCAGAAATTAAAATGGACCCTCAATGGCAAGATAAAATCGAACAGGACCTTAAAGTAAATGTTACAATTTTAAATGATTTTGCAAGTAATTGTTTCATTTTTTTTTTATTTTTTTTTTCAGGAGGCTCAAGAAACTGCATTGCCTGATGAGGATGAAGACTTGTAATTTATTAGTCTCCACAATCCAACAATTTCTCTGTTAACTGTCTCAAATAATTAATTACCTTGCACACTAAATTGGATAATTTTTTTATATACATATAATTAATTTTCCCTGTATATTTTCAACAAACAAAAATCAGTTAATTATTTTTATTATTATTCAGTCTTCAAAATCAACCATAATTTCCCATCTTATATGTACAGTTTATTTATTTATTTATTTCCTGTTTTGTAATTAATACCGATCATAGTATATGTCGCTTATTATGAACTTTTAAATTGCATTCAGTTTGACATCAATGGAATTATAATACTTATGAATTCCTATTTAAATAAACTTAATATACATTCAATCAGAGAAAATTAAAATCATTATTTTGAATCTAAGTTAGTTATAAATTCCTATTATTTTTTTTTTTTAATTTTACATTAAAATCAATTAACAAAATAACTATGTTCTGGTACATAAATTATGTTTTTATTTACTTATACTCCTAGAAACAAATTATTAAATCCAATTTATACTTAATCTTTGATGAAATCGTATCATCCTATAATTTTTAACAAAGTACAATTTGTATCTGAATTCAGATTATATTATCTTAATTATTAGTACTCTATGATCTTCATTTATTGACTTAGCGATCCAATGAAAAATCCTATGCTTTTCCTACAATCTTACTACAATAATTATTTGACCTAGTTAAATTTATATAAAATGTATGTAGATCCAAGTACTGTTGATAAGGGACAATTGATTGTGGTTCATTGGGTTGTGTGGACATTTTAATGTCTTAATTATTTTAAAATATTGTATGTTCGCTGAAAAATAATTCATTTGTACAAAATGTATGATAATATTAGTTCCATTTTAATGATGAAACATACAAATAAATGTTAGCGAATATTCCTGGGATTTATATGAATTCTGTATGTTATCCCGCTATATTATAATTTATAGTAGTTTTTAATAGAAGTTCAATATCTTGGTTTTTTTTTTAGAACTAAACTACACATTTTTCTCTTTCAATTGCATTAATATCCTTTATGTATCCTGTAAGAAATTGATTCATAGATTTTGTAGACTAATAAATAATATAATTTTATAATTAAATTTCAAATAATCAAATATACAATTTTTCAAAAAAAAATCTATCTGAATAACACTTTATTTCATTTTCAATTTACCCTCTTAACAAATATTTGTATTTGTTTACTCCTGTATCCTGCATAAGGTATTTGGCTACTTTTATTCTCCCTTTCCATATAATTAATAACTAATATTAATATTTAAATTTTCAACAAACTTGGAATCCGATTCATAATAACAATATGACATCTGGGTATTTAATGTCATTAAATAGGTTTGCTTCTAAACAAAAGTAAATAAAACCTATCTGATTTTAATAAAAAAATTTGCGTTACAAAAATATTTTAACCCCGTACAACACGCCATTTTGGATGCCGGCACAGACTAATTATTTATTGTTTTCTCATTTGCGATTTTTATTTACTTTAAGATCCAAATATGTTAATTGGATTTAATTTTAGTCTTATTTCTTTAAAAAAAATATTCCTATTAATAACATTGGCATTAGTATATTTCAATGGCTTTCGCTAATAATAACAGTAATATTGTACACATTATTTTTCTTATTTGCTTTTGTATTTATGGTAATATACAGTGATAAATATTTATAAGAAAAGGCGTGTCATTAATATTTTTGTCAGACAAACCGCCCATCATTTATCATATTTCCCTACAAGCAAATTATGTTACTTATGAAGTTTGTCCATATTGAAAATAAAATATATTCGCACTACACAGTAACAAAAATGCTAGGAAAAGATTTGCTAATTGGTTACCACAGGGTACATAAATTTCCAAATATTGATGTATACAACTATTACACTCTTAAGCTTTTTAATAATAAATGTCAAATGTATAAGAACAGCATGAAACACAGTCTATAGGTTGATTATTAAATCTATTGAAGCAGATAAATATATATATATATTTCCTATGTACAATATAAATATGGCCGAGGTGATATTTACACTGTGATTTTGGAATTTTATTTTGAATTGATTAATGTAATTAATAAATGATCAATGATTTAAAATCAAAATAATCACTAAGTTTAAATATTGTTAAAATAAAATCAAAATTACAAATTTGTATTTAAAATATTCATAATAGTGTTATAAAAATAATTATTACTAAAAAAAATGCACAATATATAAAATATTTATCTTAGGAGATCATAAAAGTACAAAATAATTGATTAAATTTTACAAATATTAATACAAAAAAAATTATACAAATAATTATAAAAAACATACAATAATTATTGTCATCAAAAATAAATTTATATAAGTATTTATAGTAAAAATAATAAAATATCAAAAAAAAATAAAATGTTATAATTAGATTGATGTGATGTATATGGATTTCCAAAATGTTTTTAACACCACTATGATCAACTAGTGCAGGTCTGAGAACGTGTCAATTCTGTAAGCATAATGTGTAAAACTAATAGGTAACTGAAAATGTTTTTGACACTCAATTTTTATGCAAGTATAATATTAAAAAGATATAGATAGGTACATTTATTATAAAAGGCATGAAAAATTATAACTACATAATAGAAAAACATCTTTAGTTAATCTATTAATATTTACGTAACTATATAGTTAATAAAATGTTACACAAATATTTCTTTATAGTGTACCACAAGATGTACAATAGAAAAAACTTACACATTAAATATACTATTTTGAATGCTTATTTTACTCTTAGATCATATACTATGGATAGAGCTACTGCATGATCCTACGAGTTGAAGACATCATTATTAACGAATGTTAAGGGGACTTATATCTAATGTGCATGCATATCAGTGTAATTATCATATTTATCGTAAATCATTATAATACCACCAGGCGGTGATTACATGAATTTGACCAATTGGACTTGATGTATATAATGTCAATGCACATCTGTCCCAACTTCCCTTAGTTGTGTTTGCTTCAAATATTTAGGCAATAGCTCTATGCATAGTATATGGTTTAAGATTTTACCATATACATATACAAGGTTATACTATGGTTTTCGATTGAAAAAAAAATATATAAAAATTGACAAAATTATTAGCATAAGAATAACACTATAGGGCAACCTATATATATATAAATATACACATATTAATATAATTGTACTTACACAGTTGTATCTAGTTCACTGAATACCATTGTCGTATCACATAATAATGATTCTAAATTACTTTTTTCCATCAAAATTATAATTTTGTCTTCATGTATTCCCATTTTCCACAGCTTACACAAAGATTTCTATGAACAAATATTTATTTTAACTTCTAACTTCAATTATATTTATATACTGGTATAAAAATTTAAATATTTTATCAGTCATTGAATTTATATTAAATATTTAAATAAATTGCTTTATTACATCATAATGGATGAGATTTTAAGTAACTAAATTTTAACTCTAAACATTTATATTATAGTACTGAAAATATATAAAACTGAGGCATTAAATAATCAATAAATAATAGATATTGTGTACTGGTCAAATTGAGCTTTTAGTTCCTATTGATATGTGTATAAACGTAAATAAAATTATAAGATAGATAATTATAAAAATAATGATTTTTATTTACCTCAGAATCTTCAAGACAATTTACATTGACAAAATTAACGCCATTAAACATATTTGATATTTCATCTAAACGCTGTTGGTCAGGATAAACAGATTTTTTTTCATTTTTTATTTTGTTCCAAAGTCTATGAAAGATGTATATAATAATGAGAAACATTTATGTTTAACATCTATATAAATTCATTAAACTAACCTTGATACACGTACTCGGGATACTTCATCACCATAAATTAAGGATATCTTATTAATATTGATATTTTTTGAACTAGAATCTTGTTCAACTAACATTTCTAACCGTTCAGGACTCATAACTATTGAAACCTCTACAGTAGTGGTTTCTCCTTTTTTCAATATAAACTCATTTGGTTGAATTATATCTTCTAACGAATTGTCTAATACATTATTTAGGCTGTTATAATATAAACTAAAAATAAAACAATAAAATAAATAAAATACTACCTTGATCAATTTTTATAAATGCAGTAGTATTTCCAGAGTTAGTTACAGTAAATTGAGCTGTCATAAATTGAGGATTTGGATACAGCCACTTATTTCCAAAATTATCTTCAAAAGCACCATGAATTATAACATTTGATCGACCACAATAACCAAATAATGAAATCTAGACAAGAAAACAAAAAATTAAAATAAATAAGTACTGAAATATTATTTTTTGATACATATTAAGTATAATGTATTATAATATATATATACATATACATTTTAAACAGTTTAGTAAGTTGATCAATTATTATAAATGTATAAGCCATATTCAATTTTATGAAAAAAAAAAGCTAAATATTAGACATATGAATATTATATGAAAAAAAATGTATTTAATTAAATATCAAATATCACTGGACTATTTGACATTTTTGCATTGTAACTACAATGCAAAAATGTTTAATAGTCCTGTTATGCCATATATATATATATATATGTCTTTTTGTTCATCTTCATCATAATTAATTCACCTTCGTTCTAACCTTGCACTTGACCCGATCTCCCACTTCATATACACTGTATGTTTTCGAGAGTCCTGATATTATTCTTTATCGCATCCAACCACTTCCTTTCACTTCCTCTCTTTTCTTCTACATTTATTTGTATTACCATTCTGACTGCTTCCGATTTTTCTCTCCTCATAACATACCCAAACTATCATGGTTCAATATTTTATTTTCTCTCATATTTTTTTTTTATCAAAGCCTATGCTAATTGTTATATACTAGTTCCTTATCCTATTTTCCCTCATCACTCCACTAGTCTATTTTTCTGTTTACTGCCCAACAATTCAAACCATACAACATAGTTGGTCTCACACACTCTTGTAGAATTTAATTTTAAGTCTCATTAATATTTTTTTTCACATAGAACACCTGATGTTTCTCTCTACTTCATCCAACTACATATAACCCTATGTATCACATCCTCATAAAAGTGCATTGTCACCGCTTATTGTCATTAACTGTCTTGTTTTGTAAACCTCTTGTCCTGTTCCTCTAAACTCATACTCTATATAGTTTATATACATAATTCTATGTTACATATCTTCTTATTTATTTTTTTTACATACATAAACACATCCATCTAAAATGGGAAAATTTGAACAAACCTTGTTTTGTACTCTTCAATTTATTTGAAAATATTTTACCTTTGCTGTCAACCTAACGACCATTTGTCGCCTCTTACAACAGGTAGAGGTGCCATAATAGTATTCTAATCTCTTCCTACAGGGATAAATATACATACATATGTAATACAAGTTATTTACTCACCACTCGTTTTTCGCTGCTATGTTGTCTCTGTAAAATTAATTGACCATAGGCCTCACCTTCATTTGAAGTTGATATTAATGCTATACTTAATTTTTGACTTTCCATGGATTCTAATAATAATTTCATTTCTGACACTTGATTTTCACCAGGAGATATCAACTTTAACATTAAAATTAATAATATTTTTATACATAATAATAATAAAAAAAAATTACCTTAAAACAATTCTTATTATCTTTAATACTCAAAAGAAGTTTTTCCTTATGTGAACCACGGTTACGCAAAGTAAATGTTTGAACAGATTTGGTATTTGATGTAACACATCCCCATATTAGACTTGAACAAGTAGATTCCAACTCCAATTGTCCAACTGTTTATATATTAAAGTTAATTCAAAATACTATATAATTTTAATAAAAATATACCTGCACTGGATGAACTAGTACTCCATGGTGATTGAGGTCTTGAAGTTGGTGAACCTGTTGGTTGGAATTCAACTAAAACAAAATTAAATACATTTTAATGTATTGTTCTCTATACAAATACAAATATTAATGGAAATAAGAATATTACCATTAGATTCAATATATTTGACTTTAATAAAAAACTGTTTTTGGGAAGATACAACTTGTACACAAATGCTGGAATCCCTAAATGGTAATAAAAAATAAAAATAGTGAAACAATAAATTATCAATAAATATAAGACATAAAAATTACTTGAAACTATATGCCTTGGATGTTAAGCATCCAATTTTAATTTTAATTTTTTCATTAACAGCCAATTGAAATCGATCAGGTTGAATAGTGAATTCTGGACTTGGTTTATTATTTTGTTGTACAGATAAATTAACAAGTAATTCACTATTGTTAGAGATTTCTAAAATACCATTTAATGTAGAATGTCCAGTTTTTTTCAACATTAAAGGGTTCTGATCAAAAGAAATAGATGTACAACCAACACTTCCAGATAAATTTGAACAATACAACAATGGTGAATAATTCTGTGACAATTCTTCAACAGAATCTAATACTATTTGAAGGCGACCAGTTATTAACTTTGTCTTACACTTATTTGTTGTAAAGCTTGGTGTTAATATGTTAATATCACATTGCCACAGTTCAGATGGATTGATAATTCCTTTAGCTTGAATAATATCTTCACATTGATCCTAAAATAGATGAAGATAAGATATATTTGCATTATAATACATATACAAGATCTCTTGGTTAAAGTTTTTACTTTAAAACATTAAATTCATAGAAATAAAGGGTACAACACCTGACAACGTAAATAACTTGTTCTGTTTAACATATATTAATATTATTATTTAGATTCTGAGCATCATTTTTTGATTTTCCCAACTATTTTAATAATAAATGGGAAAAATAATGGAAAGAAAGGGAAAATAGGTACAGTATTTAAACAAATATTATTAAAGAAAATATATAAGCATACATAATTATTTGATCATAATATAAGATATATATTACTGACAAATCAACACTATTAACCAAACTCTGCTAAGAATCGTTTTTCGTTAGCAATGGTTAATTGTTGAGTACAGAAATATATTAAATTACCACTCTAACTTTTAAACTTCTCACCTACCACCACAGTGGCCCATTCACCTTGTTTAGTATGTCCATATCTTTTTATTTTTATTTTTGGTGCTAGTTTCAAAAGACTTGCACTAAAATTTCTCTATTTTATATTTATTTTAAAATAAAATAAAAATTATATTTACTCAAATCCAAGATAAACATTTATAAATGTATTTTAAAACCAAATATTGGTTTTACTAATGTTTATAAATGATGATTTAGTAAGTTTCTACAATTTTTGAAGTTTACAAAAATATTTTTAATAAACAAAATAGTCTATTTATATTATTTAGTAGTGGTGATGAAAACAATTTAAATTATTATTGTAAACTAAAAATAACAGAAGACAATTAACGATTCAGCATCAATAAATATTTGTAACACTAACCTTTTGTTTCAAAATACATTTATAAAATGGATTTTGGCAACAAATTTTTTTTTTTTTAAAAAAAACTTTAATGTATTGAACAAATGGTTATACTTATAATTAGGGTTCGGGACTTTATGCACTTAAAATCCACAAAAAAATGTCAAGTAGTGTTTTTAAAAGCCTCCCCCTCTCTCTAATGGCTCTAAATTATAAAAATATAATTTTTGAACACTACACAAATTATAAATACAAGTTTTTAAATAATATTGTAAGTATTATAAAAAAATAAAATTACATGTGTTAGAAAATTGCATTTAATGATAAGATGGTTGGAGTGGAAATTTTAAACCCTCTGGGGTTTTTAATGCTTTTTAAATTTATTATAAAACTCTTTTGACGTTTTTAAACTGTTTTCTGTGGATTTGAAATGCAAAGTTCCAAGCCTTAATTATAATATTATAATAATGGACTAAGATATACAGTTATTGGAGGACTCAATGTACAACACTAACTGATACAACATCGACCTTAATGACATCTAGGTACATTAGTAAAATTAAATTAATTTGTCATTTGTATACTTTAGATAATTAACCGACTTTATTGTATATTTTATTCTAATTCTTTTTTTTATAAAACATACTTGACTAAGAATTATTTTAAATTAGATACATAACAATATTGAAGTAAATAGGCATTTAGACTAAATTATTAAAATCTATAACTTTTTATTATGTTTTAGTATTATATTAATAACATAAAACTGATAATATAACAAATATAGGCAGGCATCAAGAAAGGATTTTAAACTTATACCTAATTCAAAAATTTAAAATAGGTAATCAGTTTCATAGAAACATTAAGCAAAATATATTACCATCATAAATACTTGTTGTAATGTAATTTACAAAATAATATACATTTTAATTTAAATTAAACCAAATAAAATGGTGGATTCCAAGCTGTTAAAATATAATTTTCTTTTGGAGCTTTGAATAAAGTACTTTTTGAAGTACATTTTTTTATGATATATTGCCAAGACATTTTGAAAAACTTTTTAAAAGTATACACATTACACAAAGGTACAAGATATTTGCACATGTAGCTTATGGAAGAGATGGGCAAAAATAGATGGTGCAAAATATGCAGTTATACAGTGAAGGATTGCACATTCAGCCCAAACTCTGTACTCCAACAACTTTTTCGTTTTCAGTCCAGTATATCTTAGTCCGTGACTATAATGATTCTTAACTATATGTAAAATAAAATAATTTGTTAAACAAACCTGATTTAAAATTAATTTAATAGGAACTTGGAATGCTCCTTTATTTAACAATTTGATAGGAAGAGACTTTTTTGATAGCTCAGGTAATAAACCAAAGTTTATAGAGCCAAAAGAGTTGTTAACCCATACAACCTATAATTATACAATATTAATATTGTTTATGATCATATGAATAATAAGACAAGCTATTTAAAAATAATAACAACTTGTGGCTCAATTGAATGAATTTGAATGTTTCGAAAGATTTCTTGAGATAAATCATTACTTTTGAGCTTTATATAAACACTTATACTTCCAGAAATTAAAGGAATAATACCAATCTAAAAAAAAAATGATTTATATTACACATAATAAAGTAAAATGTTAGATATTTTATTACTCATACAGTAAATGAAGCTTCCGATAAAGAAGGTATAATTTGAACTTTATCTGAGCAAAGAACAGTAGCAATATTTGTCCCAGTTGGTTTATTTTCAACAAATGCATTATTTTTTGTGTTGTCCAGTGACACATCTAATAAAATTAATGAATATTTAGCATCAACGGTCAATTGATTTTCCAGTGTAATTACAGCTTGAGAGTAAGCACCAATACATATATCACCAATTTCAAGCACATCACAAGTTTTCCCTTTAAATATAAAAAATCATTGAACATTATGTGCAGTTAAATATATTTTCTTTTAAGTGTCTTCAAATATGATCACCATTATAATAAAATTTACATTTTATCCACAAAAAACATATCACAGTTAAACAATTTTCTAATACATCTCATGGATTTAATAATCAAATGATAAAAAATTGAAAATATATATATTAGATTCTTTATAACTATCCATTTTTTTCAGCCTTTTATCCCAGTAAATGTTTAAATGTTTTATGGAAACTTATGGTATTGATTTAGTACTAGATTTTTCCACCACAGAAATTTGTATTAAAATTATGTAGAAATATTGAATCAACACATAATTATTTAATAGAATTTTAAATTATAAGGAATTTAATAAACAAAAATGTTTATAATTTAATTATTAATAGATTTTATTACTATTATAAGTATTATTTAATATTTCTTAAATACTTAATTTATATTAATAACTTACTATTGTCTTGAACAAGTGGTCGAATCAATTTATCTTGACATAAAGCTTCATTGCAATAAACAATTTTAGAAACATTTGCAGATTTGTTTAAAGACATTTCAGTGAAACAATCAGGATTGTTAGATAAAATAGAAAAACTAGATAGATCAATATTGTTTTCCAATATATTTATTTCCGATTTGCAGTCTTCAAAATATCCACTTCTAGGTGTCAAAATAAAATTACCAACCGAGTTAACATGTAATTTTGTTTGTTTCCTGAAAAAAAAAATGATATATTAATAATTATTATTGTAAAATAGTAATTCAATAAATAATATATTTACTTATCAAAATGATTAGATAAATTGTTATTATTTCTTGTATACTGAAATTGATTATTTAAACAGTGTTCTCTTTTCAAACTTTTAACTTTCTGTTTGGGATTAATAGATTTATTTTGTTGTAAATGGGTTTCATCCATATTTAAAATTTTTTTCTGGGAAGAAATTGATCTAAAACTTTGTATAGATGGAAAAGCTGAAAAGTTAAAATAGAATCTACTTGTTGAGAAAAAATAAACACATAAAAGCGAAGAATAGTGAAGAATACAAATTTACATAATTCTGCATGCTCAAGATTTTGCGAAGCATTAGAGAATCTAGTAGAAGTAGAAAATCGCCTTTGAAGAAGTTGTGTAGGTTCATTCAATTGTTTGTCACCAGACAAACCTAAAATTTCAAATATATATGCATATTTATGGTGCTTTAAAAAAATCCAAAAATAAAAAAAGATAATTTACAAAATATTGTTTATCTATGTCCAACTTGGAGAAATTCTGAAGTTTAGGAAAATATTATATTGTTTGTGTAAAGGAAATTAAACAAATTTTTAGACATTAAGTAAAATTTTAGTGTGGACAAATATTATTTAAAAATTATACTATAGAAATATTTATTTACATTAATTAAAATGACATGATTTAACATCAGAGTATTATATATTCAATTTTATCTATATTTTGATTAATTAACTAAATTAACTTTAAATATTATGGTAATATGAAAAAACATACAACAAATATTAATGAATGAAAGTATTTTTGTTGACTAAACCAGATAGAGTGACTTTTTATTTTCTCTATACAGTTGAATTGCTAACAGAGTAAAATGTCAGTGATTAAGATTGAAACTAACTTGTGATTATACTTTAATACACAGTCGTCTTTACCCATTCAACCACATCATACTCATATTTAATATGAAATAGTTACTTTCAAATTATAACATAATAGGTATCTAAATTACAATATACATGGTAACATTTTTAGTTATCTACAAAAATATAGTTTTCTATTTCTTTACCTGCACCTTCATCCCAAATATTTGGGGTCGGCCATATCTATAAAAAAACTTATTTTTTGTAGTCTCTTATCATTGTAAAATAACTTATAACTTTAAATAAAATTTATTTTTTAGTTTCAGGTTAAAGCTAAGCATTAATTTAAAAATATCTAAAAGAAATACTATCTACTACAGGACAGTAAATTAATAAATAAATTTGCAAGCGATAGATATTTACAAAAATTAAATAAATATCAAATTGTAACAAATTATAATACTTTTAGTTAATAATGATTCGGTCAATTCTTTAGTTGTGGACGAATTTGTTTTTGTTGATAAGACTTCAGATATATCAGACAAACTTGTTAAATTTAATAAATTATTAGATACGTTACTATCAGTCCATGATGTAATTGAAGACATTGTTTGATAACCTGTAGGTACTTGTAAAAATAATAATATATATATGTAGACAGATTATTTTTCAACAGTAAATTACTAAATATGATTGTAATTTACCATCTTTGTTTTGTTGTGTATTATTAGGATCTAATAAGGAACAATTAATTTCTTTGACACGTTTTGTAAATGTTTCATTATTCTTTTGTTTCTTAGGAAAAATTGTTGATAAATCTTCTACAGGTACACTTTTAGCGGCAAAATAATTAAATGATCCATTTTCAATGGGCTGTCTAAAACATAACACATTTCATTTACTTAAATTAGATCAACTAATAAATACAAATCCAATAGTAGATATTATAATCAATAATTTACTTTTCTTCTTCTAAAGTAAAATTGAATCGACTTTCTGATAATGATCCAAACTCCTTGCGGTGAGCCTCTTCAATTTCAATTAAATTCTCTTTGAATTCACTACCAGGTATAAAATCATCACTCGAAAACGTACTGTTTGAATTATTAATATTGTCTTTCAACCTAATTAGATACAACACAACATTGGTAATTTTGGTACATTTAACTAAAAATCAAAAGTTGTTTTATAACTTACATATCATGGAATGCATTGGTTATGTTTATTAAAGATGCTCTAACATTTGTATCGCCGACTACATTTTCTTTAAATAAAAAATAAAAAATAAATTACAATAATAAGTAATTAAATAAAAACTGATGTATAAAAAATAATAATAATATTTATATATATTATGTACATTTGTACATACTATCAAAAATGCTTTTAATTGCACTTGCCCTAGCAAGAGTATTTTTAGTCTGTGTTGCTTGACTTAAGCGATGTTGTAAAATAGATTGGTTATTATTATTAGGAAAAGTTTCTCGTTTATATGTATTTCCGATATCTATAAATTACACAAATATTTAAGAAAGTGTAAATATATAGATATATATCATTTAATAGTATTAATCAAATTACCAGACATATTATCTAGTTCAAGAATTCCCAAAGATGACTGTCCACTTAACGATGAATGCATGCTGTCCATTTGTATACTATTTTTATGAATAGATAATGATTTTCTTAATAAATCACGACTGGTCAATTCTTCAGAAAACACAGAGTTAAATGTATTGTTAACATTGTTAAGAGAATTTTCAAGAGATCTAAAAAAAACAATTAATATGCAATGTAATAAAAAAAAATAGTTTTTAAATATATATATATATAAATAAATTTTTTTTAATGTAAATTTTTAACACAAGTAATAACAAAATCTCATAACTGTATGAAAGTACTAATTTATTATGTGACTAAAAAAAAAAAACTCTAAAATAATTGGATATGTCATGTAAACTTAAAATCACCAAAAATTAATAAGTTTTTTTATTTTTAAATGTAAAGTTTTAAGCATTATCCACTCTATACTACAGGGTTTTATATTCTGAAGTTTTCATAAGAACCAACATAGTATTTTTCATAATCAATTCTGGAATATTTTTTATTTGTAGTGATTATCAAAAATGCAAAGTTTCAACCAACCACCTTAATAATTATAATCCTACTCAAAATGAACTCATTTTAATGAAACTAACGAAAACTAAATATGGTTTTTATAGGCTTTTTAGGGCATAAAAATGCAATTTGAAAAATATAATAAAATAAAACCAGCTTGAGCCCAAAACTATGTTTTTCTTTTTCGAAAATTCAGGAAATAACGTGATTATTAAGTAACAATATTTCTAATTTATAGCATACCTTTGAATTGAAGCCATTGGTTTGAGAGCTGTAGATGCAGCTTTAGGTCCTGTATCTAAATCAGACATTATTTTATCAATTTATTAGATTTATATTTTAACCATAGAATATAATATAAGAAATAGATTTGAGAGGTTTTAAAGTTTAACTTCGGAAAATACACAATACTGAATACATCCATAAATAGTAAATATCTACAATCTAATACAATAGATAATACAATTCAGTGTATCTAAATATTTTGTAAATATTATATAATCAGAGAATATAACCGCCAATCCATTATCAATACTGGTTATTGATAACACTAGATAAATGATTAATTTGAAAATTATTGTATTACGCCCAGAAAGGGCAAAAATAAAACTATTGTATGCGGTGAAAAATAAAAATTCGGTATCTAGGGTTGCCAATCATCCTTCATATTTTTTAGGACAGTTCTCATACAGTATCATAGACATATTAATAAATGTATTATTAATATGTCTATAACAGTATTGAAATGTAGGATATTTATAGTTGGCAACTCTGCCCTGGTATCTACGATTATTTTTAACTGATTAAACAAATCGTTAAATTAAAGTAACCGTTATTAGGTAAATGTGCATGTTTTTCTCTAATGTTCAAAATATACAAGGCAAATCAAAAAATAACTCATTGTACTACTAAACAAAATTAAGAAGCTTTCTTGTCGTATTTTGATTAAACCAGATTTCTAGTAGACAAATTTTAAAAAGGCCCTTACATGAAACAAATGCTGATGAGTGATGACCTTTATTTTCCTTATTAGCCATATACGTAGACTAACATATTATACCATAATATATAGTTCGGTTCAATAGTGCCCATCACTATCAAACTACAAAGAGCAATCCAAGGTCCCATTGGGAGGCGCATCTGAAAATTCCCGCCTTTCCAGTAAGTCTATCCGCTCATGGGATGAGCCATTTATCTAAAGGTTAATCATTACTAACGAAAAACAATTCTGAGCGGAGTTTTAATGTGATACATACGATTTTCATAAATGTTGATATTAAAATTCTTAAGTAAAAGAAAATACTATATAGATAAATTAAACTCAACTTTTACTTGTTGACTATACTATAACTTATAAGTACAATATATAATCAACCTCCTGTTAAAATCAAACCATTAATGTTTGGTCTTACAGTTTTATCCTCAAAGTACCCAATATCTATCGAATAAAAATTACGTAAAAAAATAGCAAAATTAAAATACATAAAAATATCTCTAAAATGGCTCAAATGTTTTAAAAATTTGACCACATTTAGAAAAAGCAAATAAAATTTTTTTTTCCGAATTTCAATTTTTTAGTTAATATTAAATATTAATTGTTTTATTACTTGCATGGTTTAAATATTTAAACCATGATTACTTGTAAGTTGAAAGTTGTAAAAATAAGTCTTATACTTTTGACTATGCCCCCCTCCCGGTTTATATTTTTGTGGGTACCCTTGACCCCTACACTAAACACCAAACAGAGAGTAGATACGTAATTATTAATTTACATAAAGAATAAAAAAATCTCTAAATTAACCAATTATTTGAACGCATTTGCACATTTAGTTTTGAGTGAGATAAATTAATACTTAAATAAAAGTGAATTTTGAAAATTTATAAGTAATAATAATAATTTTCATATATTTATCAGATTTGTCATTTTTGGTAAGGAAAATTAATTAATTAATTATTTGATACCTATAATGATTTATTTTCAGCTCGGGATAGTAAATAACTCTAAATAGCGGACACTCTCGGTGATCGAAATTCCATTCACTATTCAGAGGGATACATTTTTGAAATTCATATTAAATGGTAAATGTTTCTTTTAGTCATTATCAGTTTTTCTGCCAACGACTGATGATTCCCCACACATTGATTTAAACGAAATGTTATGCCTTTTCATAATTTTTCAAGCCACCCATTTAAAACTTTGAAATCATTCAAACTATGAACTTCTAGGTTCCTATTGTTTTGACGTACAGGCGGATTAAGAGAGAGGGGAGCTTAGTAATCTCCAAACAAACAGAAATTACATGCATGCCAACATTAATAGAAATCCTATTGAATGGTTTAAAATAACAATTTGTTAATTTAAGATAACCATTTTTAGAACACATTATTCAAGAATTAAAATCTAGATTCAGTGATAAATGTTCTTAAGTTATTCCACAAAGATTCATAATGCACTGAGACAATAGTAAAAGCTGGAATGTTCTATGCACAAGATTTACATTCAAGTTCAGAATTAGTATTAAAAGCAAAAATAAATCTTTAGAATGCGAAACAAATGCATCTCTGAGGCGATTATACAAAATATCTATAATTCTTAAGTTTAAATAAAAATTCAACTGGTTCCATGATGATTCCGGATCTTGGAAATACTTTGATTGAAACAATAATGAAACATTTATCATTTATAAATTTCAATATCCTCTCAAGGATGAGATAAAATTATGGAAAACTAAGTAGGAACAATTAATTTTCAAAGATATAATAAAATAATATAGGTATTTTTAAAATCAAAATTGGAAATGATTAATTTTATTTCAATTTTAGATTCTGAGTGTAGCAAAGAATTTACCTATTGGAATTTTTTTTATACTGTGATAACAATTTCTATCAGAAATCTTGCTTCGATGTGTAAGTGTAGCACCTTTTTTAAAAGAAAATATTGTCATATTGACTAGATTGTACTTTAGAAAGGTATCAGGAAAACCCAGGATAAAAAATAAGAAAATCGGGACAATTTACGATAATAATGCTTTTATTATTTTTAATTTTGTTTTTTGTTGTAATTCAGTTAAAAATATTCGTAGACTTGAAATTTGGACAGTAAATTTATATTTGCCTTTTTTAGACGTGGTAAAATTGTAGCCGATTGCGGAAGAAATAATAGGGGATTACCAAGGAGATTTCAGACCAAACAGGTCAACAACAGACCAAATATTTGTGATTAGGCAGACCCTTCAAAAAATGTGGGAGTTCCATAAAGACGTGTATACATTATTTGTGGATTTCAAGAAAGCCTACGACTCTATCCACAGGGAAAGCTTAATCAATATTCTTAGGAAATTTAAGTTTCCAAAAAAGCTAGTTAATCTTGTAGAGGCAAGTATAAATGGAACAAAGATTAAAGTAAAGCTAGCAAATACGTTGTCACAGCCAGTGGAAGTGGTGACAGGCTTAAGACAAGGAGATGCGCTTTCTCCTGTACTATTTAACTTAGTGTTGGGGAAGATAGTAAGAGAAATCAATTTATGTGAAGGGGTTGAGTTAGGTCGATCGACAATTAATATTCTGGTATATGCGGATGATATCTCTCTATTGGGAAGGAGTAGAGATGATAATAAAAATGGTAAAATCACTTATAAAGGCTGCGGAGAAAGTAGGACTAAGGATTAATGAAGAAAAAACAGAGTACATGGTGGTCAGTCGGAGAAATGGGAATCAGGTACAAAAATAATTCATTGAAGTGGAAGAATACAAATTTAAAAGAATGGACCAATTCAAATACTTTCAAAAGAAAAGGGTCAATTATAACTCAAGATAACGACATTAAAACAGAAATTTCAATGAGATTACAATCAGCTAATAAATGTTTCTTTGGACTTAGTAAAATTTTTAGATCAAGAGCAATCTCTAAGAATTTAAAAGTTAGAATGTACTTAACTTTGCTAAGGCCAATTGTCCTGTACGGAGCAGAAACATGGCCTCTGAGAAAGACTGAAGAACGAAGAATTGCAGTATTTGAGAGAAAAGTACTCAGGAGAATTTATGGGGCATACTTTGATGTTCTCACAAATGAATGGAGGAAATTACACAATGAAGAACTGCAATCCCTTTTTCAACGACCGGATATACTGAAAGAGATAAAAAAAAGAAGGCTAGTTTGGGCTGGACATGCCTGGAGGAAACATGACTCATTAATAAGAAGAGTAATAGAGAAAAACCCAGTAGGGAGGAGACCTCTTGGAAGACCGCGTCTAAGATGGGAGGATTGCGTTAGGAGAGACACTGAAACAGTGGAGCCGGAGTGTCATTGGCAAGAAGTAGCAGAGGATAGGGATAGGTGGCAGTATGTTTATCTAGAGGTATGGTCTTGAATGGCCGAAACCAAGAAAGAAGAAGAAGAAGGTNAAAAAAAAAAAAAAAAAAAAAAAAATGTTGAACTGAAGCTAACTGACGTATATTTAAATTTTAATCGAAATGAAAACATTGAAATAAAAAATATTTTTGATCAAACCGCTTGCGAAAGGCTGCTTAAAATAAAAGTATTTTGGACTTGGTCATCTAAATTTTATTATTATTATTATTACTTTTGTTCTTCATATTATCATTATTTTAATTATTATTTATTTAATTGGAAAAAAATAAATTTAACTCTTAAATTGTACTGTTTTACTGCATTTGTACAATATATCTACAGTTTTCTAAGCTAATATAAGTTGAAACTACATCAGAAATAACGGTTTTAAGTGGTGAATTAGTAGTGAAAGCAGTGATATTCAAGAGTAAAAATTGTTCGCTTCCCCTCTTCATAAAATTGACCCGAATACGCCCCTGAGTAATACTATTAACCGATCTCCGCTCAGAATCGTTTTTTGTTAGTAATGCTTAAATTTACTTAGATACAGATATATATTAAATTTCCCTCAATATCTCTTCTATTCTTCTCCAAATTCTCTTCTATAACAGTGGCCCACCCATCGTGCGAAGTATGTCCGTCTTTTTTTTTATCAATCATTAATATTAAATTTAATTATTTCGTCTAGCCCTCCATCCTCCCATATCTAAGGTCTGGAGACGCCCCTGATGCGAAATGGAATAAAAGAAAAACAAATGTTCCCCATACTGCTGTTAGATTTTTTTCCAAATATCAAAATCCTCTTACAATTATTGGCTACGCTCCCAGTATTAACAGCAACTGCTGAAAGGTTATTCTCTAACTTAAGGAGATTAAAAAATTACATGCGCATAACAATGACCGAGGCTAGGCCGAACGGCTTAGTTTTATGAAATGTTCATACAGACATATAGATTGACTTAGTTATAAATGAATTTTCTATAAAAAAAAATAATAATAAAGAGGACCGGTAAATTTAAATTATAAATGTAAACTATTCAAATTTCAAAACTCATACTGCATTGTATTATGTAACTACATATGAAAAATAAAAATAAAATGATTATTTATCTTTAGGTACAATTATGTATCTTAATTAATAATTATATGCCGAACTGTTTATGTAATACATCCAAATAAAATGCACATTGCAAGACTAATTTTCTTCAGCTGTTTAAACTTCAAATTATTAATTTTTTTTCATAATAACTAATAAGTAGGTACCTTAGGACCATTATACGTAAACTAGTACCCACCATAAAAAAAATCTTAGATCCGCCTCTGTTTTGACGGTAATCTAAAATTTTAACTTTTTTGCGAAGCGATAACCGCTTGAGTACCTACGTTTTAACGAACTTATCGCGTCGAAAACTGTCACTAATTACCGAATTACAAAAATACGAAATGCGCAAAACATTAGTCATTAAAATATTGATACTTTCGTCATACTTTATGGTCGTTATCCATCGTAATCTTATCTTATCGTCCCATAACGACTTAAATAAACGAGTTCGTTATCGTTATATAACTTCTATTAGCGAGAGCTCATTTCTCTACTGTCGTTTTGACATAATTTTTAAATTAATATTAAAATAATTATCCGTTATCCGGAAGTTTTCCCATTGAAATGCAATGAAAATTTCCCCGTTCCAAAAAAATTGTCCGCTATTGGAAGGTGTCCGTTGGGGAGGTTTAATTGCATATTTACATACAGGTATAGGTATACTTACCGTCACTACGCGTATCTGGTTTCAAAGTTTTGACTCCGCCCCGTAAAGCTGTACACATTTACTTTTGAAAGTCTTGTTTTGTTAAACTATTTTGTTGACACTCGAATAATTTAAATTTATTGCGAGAAGAAAAGAACAATATGCGAGAATATAATATGTCGGTATTATCGTAACGGCTGTTCAACGGAAACTATAATTAGTAATTACTAAGGTTTGAAGTTTCGAATGTTTTGATTGGTCTGATGATTATTGATAAGACTCTAACCGTGTCGATACGTGTTTCGGCTACGGGAAAATATATTGCTGTGAAACGTTAAGTATCTATACCTAATTCAAGTTGTGATAAATTGTTGATAACGTGAATGCAAGTGAGCGAATTTTAAAGTTTTCAGTTATTTTTGCATATCCAAACAATTTGTATCCACACACACACACACACACACACGTTCGAAAATTATAAATGCAATGCTGCGGTTTTTACGGTTTTCATCAAAATTTGAAATTAACATTTATAAAAAAAATATTGAATATTAAATCATGGTTTTTCCATGTGCATATATTTTTTTCTGTCTGTAAATAAGTTTTCTACAAGAAATTATAGTGATTTGAAAACAAATGCATTTTTTGTGCTCCTTGAGGCCCGCCGGGGTCAATCGCTCGCTCGGACTGTTTTAAACGGAAAAAAATCTCGATTTGTTAAGCAAAACCACGTCGGGTTGGTGATAGAAGGAAAATAAATGACAAAAATATGGTGGTAAACTGATATGTTGGCAAGGGCGTCCATGAAGGGGAACACTTTATTTTTTCAATAATGTATTTATTTTATTGTTAACTTATTAACTGCTATATATAAGTTTATGTAGCGTAATATTATATGACTATTCCTATTTCCTACAATAATACCTATTTAACACAACTCATAACTATAATAAATAAATGTATAATAGTCACGGAAAAGCCAAGGGAGGATATGTCCTCTCCTTGGCACTCCTTAATGGACGCCCATGTATGTTGGCCTTTCCAGTGTTGAAACCCGATACTTACCACAGGTTTCTCATATGCCACGATATAAAGAAGAATATTAAACGAATGTATGCTATTTAACCAAAATTGTAAAATCAACAAACTTCAAATGACTATAACTTTGAAACTAATGGTCTACGGCAATTTTCATGTGTACTGTCATTTTCATTGTTAAAAAGTACCTTATACATTAAAAAAAAAAAAATTTTAATTTAATGTGCCCTATAGATTAGAAATGAGTATAAGTACCTACCCAATTTAATATTCAAAATATACGCACGATTAATTAACTAATTTTTACTATAAGATACTAAAATTAATTTACTAATATAATATCTAAAATGCGTATAATGGTTGAAACTAACATATTTTATCCAGTATCTATGTTCTTACTGCCTAATAGATTATTAGATCTGGCACATTGGCCACTTACATACAAAACATGAGCACGCGTTATCCAACATGAATAAAGGTAATATGGATCTACACAATTATTTTGTGTCTTGTAACGACGAGTTATGATAATCATATAATATATTATAGTAGATATTGTCTGTTGTTCGTATGTCTGTGGTTTTAACTTTTGTACTCAATCGACTTTTAAACAAAAATCAATTAAATGTAAGTACCTATCTATGGGTTAAATTTATGATCTATGTCCTGTGATGCAAATACAACTTATAATCTGTGGAAGCACGTACCTATATTATTTGTGTATAACCTCCTTGCCGTCCGTGTGTAGTTTAACATTTTAGGTTAAGTAGTACAAAAGTATCCAAGAAAATAAAATAAAACAACACTATAAAATTACTCAATCTGTGCTTTCTAATTGTAAACTAAACAATAAAAATTGTATGTTTTATATCGAATCTTCAAAATGGTAAGTGATATATAATATAACAATGTAACTATTGTTTTATAAATAATATAATTGCTGGTCACAGTTTTTCGAATGTTTACTCTCGTTAAAATAACGCCAAAAAACACTTGATACCGTTAAGATTGAGAAGTTGTCCTGTAAAATATCTAGAAGTCAATTTTTTATACAGGTATTTTTCAATAGGTATACTCCAATTTGCAATTGGTACTTAATAGGAATTTTGGAGTTTAATGATAGTTCTGACCCAAACTTGTTCGGGGCGTGTGATTGATTGATACTATTTTTTTAAATCTTTGTGTGGCTACACTTTTTGTATAACCCGTTTAAGTGATATTCTTCTTTTAAATTTGTCGTTTTATGGGTTGGTAAGTAGATAGAGAGTAACTCAGTAGTAAAGCACTACTTTTTATTTATTTGAATTAATCAAGATAGGTGTGATTTGTATTAATTAATTTATGTTTTAGCTTTGATGCATAACTGAGACAGTATTGTTTTTACAATGAAATGTATTTATTTAGATATTTTCTAGTTGAACTAAAATATATTTAATAATTAATATTTTAATATTAATACAGAATTGAAATTCCAATACAATATTAGGTGCCTACATATTACATACAAGAATTAAAAGTTAATGAATATTAGCTGAAATCTATATAGTGAATATTGAATAATATTATAATAAAAGAATATTTAATATTAGAATAATATTGCTTAGTTTATATGTATTTGTATGTTTTGGTCTTTATATAGTTTTATCTGTGATGTATTTATTATAAAATGTTTTATACACGTATATATATCCAACGCTGATATTTAACTATGAGAAAAAAGACTAAAAATTATATCAGGCATTGAAAATATAAGTAGGTTGAGACAGAATTACTAACAAAATAAATAAGTACTTATTATAATATGTGATATTTTTAATAATAAATAATAATAAAATAATACAAATAACATTAAATATTGAAAGTTTAATAATGATCAATAAAATATTATTTCCTTAAAACTTTACCATGGATCAAAATATATTTGTTATAGGTATCACATTTCATTAGTAAATACAACTTTCAAAAATTATTGGTCAGTTTGTGATATTTGGGTAATTTCATTTTGTATGAAATTTTGTACTTCAATCACAGTAGACATATTTATTTATTTCAAGTGTATGGACTGTAAGTCCTATTACATTATGGTAATGTAAAGCACAATTACAAATTGCATTAAAAATATTTTTAACTGAGAGAGAAAAAAATTGATCTTAATTTACAATTTAAATATACTAAATTTAAGAACCACTAATAATAATTAAGTACAAATTTATTACCTGCAATCATTAGAAGATTGGCAGGGTAATTCATGATATAGTTCTTATTGGAAAACATTTATCAAAACATTTACGATCTTGTGTATTGATTGATAGAATTTAATTTAAAACTGATTAAAAATAGGCAATCAGTATAACCTATTATTAAGTAATGTTCAAATTTAAAGAGTAATATCTATATATTTTAACTCACAAATAAGCCTAGGAATATTAAATCTGTGAGAAATGAAATGTAAAAGAATTATTTTGTACTAACTTAATAGTATTGTTCTGTTTAACTGTATTAATAATCAAAATTAGAGGGCAATATTTGCGATTTGAATGAAAAATAAGAGAGCATTAAAGTGTGTTTTCAGTTAGGTCATTAAATAATTGACATGTTCTTCTTACATTTCTTGATATTTAGAGAATGACAATTATTTGTTGACCATTATTATATATTATATAATAGAAAATTATAATTTGTATAATTTTTAAAAAAAAAAAACATTTTTGTCATTAATATTATTTTGTATGTTTACCTATAATAAAACATTTGTTATAATTATTGTTGGTTGCTCTAAAAAGTTTTTACAGTGTACCTATTTATTTTAATACATTTTTTTTTTATGGACAAGTATTTCTTACACTCATAATTAGTATTTAAATTCATTATTTTTTGAAGGATTTAATTAAAGGCAGTTGGGCGGATGAGGTCGAGAACCATATTGAAAAGACAACATTGCCAGAAACAAAAACTGAACACATTGGAAACACTAAGATTATTACAGAATATCGATGGAACAAAGATAATAAAAAGGAAAAAGTTGTACGTATGTATAAGATAGAGAAACGTTTTGTGTCCAAGACAGTAGCAGAACGAAAAACATGGCTTAAATTTGGAGATTCGCGTAACGATAAGCCTGGGCCTAATATTGCAACTACCATACCCGCTGAAGAAATACTGATGCAGTTCTTATCAGGCAAAGATGGTGAAAATGTTGAAGAAAATATTTTAGACAGATTAAAGAGTACAAATATGAATATTAAGTGTCGTACTTGTGGTGGTGAGCATTGGTCTTTTTCATGTCATCTCAGAGACACTGGATTAATAGTTGAAGATAAGAAACTAGTACAGGAGAAAGTGGCTGAACCAGAAAAGAATACAAGTACCAACAGGTTTGATTTAAATTGTATACATTTAAATATTGTTTGTTTTAATATATTTTATTAATTTTTAGACCATATATTCCACCTTCAGCACGAGAAGGCGCTATGGATGTGGCAGGTAAACGAGATCCATACGCACGTACTTATGATGATGTACCAGCTATTCGTATTGAAAATTTATCTGAGAGTACATCTGAGACTGATTTGAATGAATTGGTTTCGCAATTTGGACCAATTGCTAGAATATTCTTGGCTTCCAACAAGGTTACTGGAGAGTGTAGAGGTTATGCGTTTGTTAATTTCAAATCCAAAATGGATGCCGAAAAAGCAATCAAGTCTTTACATGGCTACGGTTATGATCATTTAATATTAAATGTTGATTGGTCAACAAACAGCTATAAAAATGCCTAAATTCCAATAAATCTAATATATGCAGCAGTTAATTTATGAAATCATCTGTTTTATATATTTATTTATTTAATTTTAAAATTTCTTCCAACATCAATGTTCTTTTATAGTTTATCAATTTTAACAAATAATATGTTCAACATAACATAATTAAATATTGGCAAGAAAATTAGATTTTAATATTATATTATTATAGTATTTAAACATTTTAAAATCATTTATTATATAACAAAAATGTTTACATTAAAAACCTAAAATATTTCCACTGTGTTACTTATCATGTACTTCTATACCTCAGTCATTTTTTCGTAAAAATTTAAAACTTTCCACTCTTAATTAGCTAAATATTATTATTTTAACTATAGAACATATTTCGTACTGATATGTCTTAAAAAATAATGGCTTAAGATCTAATATTCTAATCTATTACAATTAAAAATAATGATTTAGAAAAAAAAAAAAGTACGAATAGTAAATTAACCTGTTAAGGGTTGGCAAAATATATGTATTTAATATTATTATATAAACATAAATGCTACAGAAATTTACATCAACATTATTCAGTTGACTAGGTGAGTAATATTATTAAATAGACATTTTAAAATAAGATTATAAAGAACACATTTTTGAAAAAAAATTTAAAAAGACTGTCCTTAATTCAAATTTTGCTAAACATATTTTAGAAAGTGACCATATTATAAGCTTTAATATTAATACAGACCTAGAGATATTCAATAACCGAAATAACATTTATATTTATTCGATTTCAGAAGAATTACATATGCAATTAAATAAAGAAAAATAATTTTTATAATATTTTAAATGTACAAACCGATTTTAAAAATAATATCTCATCAATACATTTTAGATAATAAATAATTAAATAGTTTATGTTTCTTAACATATCTGTCTAATAATAATCCATATTTAATAATCTCTCCTATGAAAATAAATTATTATTCTGTAAAACATCCAATTTGTATGTTACTTTTTTCTATGTATTCCTCCTTCATTAAATTTTTTATATTCAGTCGAGTTTTACATTTTGACTCTGATATACTTAATGATGAATTTTTAATTTGAAACCGGTCATATCATATACTTATAATTCTCCATGCAACACATTCATTCATTTATTTTTTAATATTTATTTAGTTTTATTTTAATATATACATTTTTATTTAAATATTTATTAACTAAAAGTATTATTACAGAAAATATATAATGCATATTATGTAATTCTTTTACTATAATGTTGATATAGTAAAATTATTAACCGAACTTGTTTTTTGTTAGCAATGGTTAATCACTGCATACAGATATACATTAAATTTCCCAAATTTTCACCTACAACAGTGGTTCACACGTGTGCGAAGTATGTCTGTTTTTTTTAAAAGTATAAATGCATGGATATTTAATACTTTTAAAAGCATTAAGTTCCAATTCGAAGTCATTACCAACAGTTTGGAGCAAAAAGAAAAAAGCTTTTAATACATTGTTGAATTGTTGTGATAACATACATCAATATATAACGTTTTGATAATAATTAATAATAAATGACATATACCTGCATTTCAAAAGTTTTGAATATACACATTTTCAAAAAACCCAGAAGTGTCTATATTGGTGTATACACTACTGGATAATTGCACATTTTTATATATATTTTTGTTATTAAAATTATAAGATTTGAGAGAAAATTTAACACTATGTACATTATACTTAAGTTGTACTTACTAGTCTAAAAAACAAATTTGAGTTTAATACATTAGTTTTTTTTCATAATTGTTTAAGATCAAATTTAGATAGAAATTGTAAAAATTACATTATTTCAAAATATGTCTTACTGAGTTTTGCTGAATTGTTTTTTGTTATGGTTTATTTTTGTGTACCTAAATATAGATATAAATTCAATATTTTTATTTAACTCAACTTCCCACCCACCAGATTTTTTTCTTGTATTTTCATCTCCAAAATCATTTATAATCAAATCATATTTTTATCTATATCTTTTTCATTTGTTAATGGTGTAAGATTAGTCTGTTAGTTCAGTGAACAATTGGAGTCTAGAACATCTCACCATGACCAATTCACCACTATATCGACTGCCAACTTGCCGTTATATTCAATTCTGCAGTGGTACCTTTTTTTTTTTTTTTTGAAACCTAAAGCCATAACTCAGTTGTTTTTAAAGGCATGTGAGTGAGTTCTTCACTAGTATATTTAAACACTTCATATTAAAAGTATCTCCCCATCTGTTTTTTGAAATAAGTATATTTTGCGGGATTTGGTAATAGGAAAGTGGTTTAATGCCCACAAATTTGGCTTGGCACCCTAGAAAATCCCTTCCATAGTTTGACACCATAAAATCCTTTCCTAGGGCACCTCTAGTTCACCCTCACCAAATTTAGTATCAATGGGAAAAGATTAGAACAGGGGACCCGCCAACCATTTTGAAGTATAATCCCCAAGACATATTAAAGTCAAGTGTTAATATGTCTGGTTTCAACTTTTGAATTCGAGTAACTTTAAAAAAATTAAATTAAAATAATGTGAGTTCATTTTATAATCTGTGTCACACAGTACAACTATACAATATATAATTTATATTACTATATTTATTTTATGTACGTGAATATAACTTAACTAAAAAAAAACACAATAACAATACCCAGTATGAATCATTACACTAAAAAACTAATTTACAAATTGCTTAAATTTGTAATTCAATACAATTAGACAATATATTATTTAATTTGTATAGATATTGATCAATGTTCTTATTGATTTTTATTAGTAATTATGTTATAAGCAGCTAATTTAATATAAACGCTGAGCAACGAGGAAACAAAGAAACAAATACTGAATTGATATTTTCAGTATTAAAAAAATTACATGAATCTTTAATAATTAATTTTTTCACTAATTGAAGAGCTCTGTGCAAAACAAGTCCCATTTTTCAGAAAATCAGTGTTTCGTCATTTTAAATATACTTTTTCCTTTTCTAGTTACGTGCAAGAACAATATAAGTATAATTTATAGATTTAGAGATATAGACCAAATGGATTTGTCTAAATGAACACTTTATGTAAAAAAAATTAGAGATATTTAAAATAATTTGTTTTCTTCTGAACAATTTCAAAAAGTGGACTTGTCTGCTTGATGCATGGAACCCTTCAATTGTGTCAAGTTCATCCAACACTACATTACACTATTGATTATACATATAATATTATTATATATTTGACATAAATTAAATCATATATTAATATTAAATAAAAATAATTCTAAATAAGTTAAAAAATTGAATATTAAAAAAAAAAATGTATATATATTATACCTATACAAATATACTTTTAAAACTATTAATCAATGTAAAATTTTTTCAATAATATAATTAATTGTTAAAAACCAACAGAAATATTAACCACCAGTTAATAAGCAGTATTATAAATTTCCCTTGAATTAAAACATTTTTAAATATAACAGGCATGTCATGATTACTAAAACAAAATTAACTAAATTAAAATATTAAAATATTAATATTTTACAAAAATAAAATTAATTATTACAAGTATGAATTAATATTATGTATATATATATATATATATAAATATAAAACAAATTATTTTGATGGTTAGTCTTGAAAAATAATTTTATATATAATATTTATTTTATATGATAAACAATATTTTATGTCAATCATTTTTGAGGTTAAATATTTTTATCATTATCTTCGAAATAAATGAGCTTTGGCTTCTGCAGTTAATTTTCTAATTCGCCCTCGACTACTAACAGATACTCTTATATTAACACTATTTTCTTCATCATTATCATCATCATCATCATCATCATCATCATCATCACCATCATCATTTTTGTCACTATTGTCATTGCAACTGTGATCACTATCTTCAGAATAATTTCTTTTTTTTGTTTTCCTTAGATCTCGACTTTTATGGCGGGCATCTTTTTTAGTAAACTTTTCTGTAGGTATCCAGTCGTCAGCACCTTCTTCACTACTTATACCAGATACATCTAACATTTTTGCATAATTCCAACGTTTTTTCTTTCTTAAATTTCTAGCGCCTCTTTGATCGGTTTCTTCATTTTTTAAAAATCTCGATCGAGTTTTTTTTACTCTAGTTGGTTGTTCTTCTTCTCCATCATAAAATCGGGAAGCTTGATTTCTACTAGTAATAGGCGGTACTTCATATCTTTCTTCACGCATTGGAAATCTTCTACTGCGAGAAGGTTTCGTGGGCAAAACTTCATCATCACTGTCATTATCATAATCTTGAGATGGTTGTTTAACTAATCTCTTTGGCCGTTGAGATTCAATAGCATTATCGTCATCTTCACTATCATCATAATTGTCTTGTAAACGATAAGTAGGTTTACAAATTCTTGATGAATGACGTCGAAGTGGTGTTTCATCATTACTTTGAACTTCTTCTTTTATTTCAACACTCGTTGATGGCATGTTAATAGATTTCTTTCTTTTAATACGCTTTGATCCATTTCTTTCATCTAAAATATTTAATTAAAATAAATAATTTAAAATAAATTTTCTAACAATAACTTACTATGTGCAAAACTAGTTGAAGGTTGGTTAGGATCAAACTTTATTTCTTCTTCATCTGATGATTCTTCTGTTGTTACTTCATTAATAATGGTCCTTGACCTACGTGGCTTTTTGGATCTTAAATTAAAATCAGCATCACTATCATCTTCACTTTGACTATTGTCCATATCTCTTTGTCTTTTTAAACGGCATCTTCTTTGTGGACGTGAACTTAAATGGCTAACTATAGCTATTAAAAGAAAATTGTTTTTAAGAATTGATTATAAATTTATTGTTATTAAAACAATTATTGATTAAGTTTAAAATTAACTTACAAGTAGGACGTCTTAAAGATCTCGTCCAACTATGGAGTATTTGAGATATGTTTTCTTCTGATAAATTAATCATCTTTCGGGTCATTAGTTCCAGCTTTAAAAACAAATAATAACTTTATAATAAATTAAACATAAAAATTATATTTTATTAGATACTACAAGTAGATATTTTCTCATACCAAATACTGTACATATAAATACCCATAGACCAAAATAAATAGGAAATGGTATTCTGTAAATTTGGTTAATTTTATGCTCTCTATACTGTTATGGGCATTAGGTTATAATTTATATAATGTATGATAATGATTATCATTCAAAATACAAATATATTAAGTTTTTGCTTTGATTCAAACCAATTATTATACATACAAGAAATATTTTTAATTCAAACATTTGTCTAATTTAAGTTTAGAATGAATATCAAATCAAATTTTACTATTGATGATGGAAGAGTATGAAATTCCTAAACAACAATAGTTTTCTTAAGAAACTAAGAAACACAAAAAATGTAAATAATATTATCTATAAACTATTAACAAAAAAATGGATGGAAATAAATAAATACATATTAAATAATATTAATTTATATTAGGACTTATAAATATTACAAGTTTAAATTCATAATTACAAAATTACTAATCTCAACTTATTTAGATTATCATAAAAATTCTAGATTTACAATTGTCGACTATTGTTGATGAAAAAATAAATACCTTTTTATCTGGATGAACTTCAGAGTAAATCTTTGCGTTATTAAAAACTCGTCTTACATCTTCACAGAATTCTTCTGGTGTATTATAATTATCTCCACGTAAATCTTCCCGAATCGATGTTAAATCCATAGGCGTATTGACTACTCGTCCATAATCTGGGTATGCATTATAATCAATTGGTTCTCTAAAATATAAATTGTATTAAAATTCATATGGCTCCCTTAGTTAATCTGAAGTACTAAACAACAAGTGTATAGTTAATTAGTAAAATACTAAAATGTTCAAATTTCAGTACATTTAATAAAATAATTGTTAATGCAGAAAAGTTTTTAAATTTCCATATAATTTAAATTATTTAGATTAATTTTACCTCCCCATCAAAAGTATAACATAGAATACAAATAATTAATAAACATTATATTTACTAAACTGAATTAAATACAATATAAATTGACAAGTTTTATAATTATAATTAAGTATGCAACATAAAATATTTATTAGTTACTTAGTCAAGTATACTCAGATAATTTTTAAATATTACAAAATACTTGCTGATTATATTAAACTTGTACCAATTTATAATGCATTTAAAAGCCTATTATTCCTAAGGGATTAATTAAGTGATACATTTTTCTGCACTTGTGAAGATAAGATAGCAAAACACTTGTCACATGGAATTCACTTTACTACACTGACCGTGTTGGCCATTTAATATTTCTTTTTTTTTAATACCCGAATAAAAAATTCTAAAACTATTCGATATCCGGTACTTGAGTCAAATTTAATGCCCGTAACAACTCTAGCTATAAGCAAACCATATACATTTGGTACTTCAGCAAAAATACACTTATATTGTTTTACCTGAAAGGAGTACTGTCTTTTGATAACCACAACATTTGTAAAAATTTTTTACATTCCAATTTCCAATTAAATAATTGACTTCTGTCTCTTAATGATCCAGGTCTTAATTTATGTAATCTCTTTTCAGATGGTACACTTTTTTTCCCTTCTCTTTCATTATTTTTGTAAGTTTGCTGTAATTGGCGACATAGTGATGGAACTTCTATTGGTGTAGGAGATCTATAAATAAATAATTGGTTTTAGACAAATAATTCAAAATATATTTTGATTACTTAATTTCTATTAATTTAAAACTAATTATTAATGACAAATATAAGATATATAGGAAAATAATTGAACAAGATATTAAACAAAGAAAGTAACATAAATATCACTTAGTTCGTTTTATACTTTACAACCTTAAAAGCCACTTGGATAAATGTTTGACTTTATATATTTAAAATTATTAAAAAAACTATTTTATAGATAATATAATAGAAAAAAAAATTGCAATTTTTTCATTCAATTTATGTATACATCCAAGTGATTAGTACAATATGTAATAAAAATTTACATTCACAAACTAGATCTTGTAAACAAACTGATTTGAATTTGTTATAAAACTATAACAATATTATCAAAATATTGTCAATTGTACCTGTGAATCAGTTTGACAGAAACTAAGCTTTCACAAGGGAATTTTTTAAAAATTGTTTTTATTCATTACATGTATTACATTATTAAGATGCAAAAATAATAAAAAAATTTATTTTTGTTTTGTTTTTGAGTCCGAAATACAAATAGTATCTGGGAAATAAATATCAAAAATTCAATCTTTGAAAAAACATAGTGAATTTTTTCATTTTTAATCTGGTCAAATAAATTTTGTTTCAAATCCTGGGTACTATTGAAAGTATGAAAACACATTTTTTTTATATTGCTCATTAGATTTGACACCCATTTTAAGTTAGTTAAAAAAATGAACTATATAATCAATTAAAAACAAAGTTACTAACATGTAGTAAAAATTGAAAAGGATTTGTAATAAGTAATATGTTTATTTGATTATTAGATAACTTTTTTTCAAACTATGTATTTAGAACTGTAAATTTAAAATAAAAAAATATTAAAAATATCTGTATAACTTACTTAATAATTGTCAATAATATTTCAGTAATTACTCGAGCACTTATCACAATGTCACTACCTTCTTCATTAAATTTTTCAGCATTGCTTGCAATGTATCTTGCATCAAATTGTACTGCTGCCAGACGTCTGTAAAAACGATTTTCTAATCTTGCCTAAACAAAATTTTTTTGGTAAAATAAAAAATAATTTTTCTTTTTTCTAAATATAATTAATTATTTCACTTTTATGATTGATAGATCAATAGGATACTCCACAATATATGCATAAGATGGATATTCTTGTATATCAACTGGAGCTAGAAATGGTTCAGCAAGTGACATCCCCATAAGATCATGCAATCCTCTTAATATACGATCACAAATTAAATCACGAGACCCACTTGGCCATTCTTTATTACCAGATTCTGGTTGATATAATATATCTTTCATTTCCTTAGTAGTTACTGGTAATGACATTCCATTAAGTGGTTCTCCTTATAATTACATAATAAATAAATAAATATATATATATATATATATAATTATATAATAAATAAACACTGTGATAAATACCATGTAACACACAAAATTGTGTGGGAATAAATAAACCTACATACTTTTAGGGTTTACAGGTTCCATATCCCAAGGACTTAAATTTTCATTTTCATCATTATCCCAAAGAACTTTATAACACAAAAATGGTGACCTAGAAGAATTTTGTTCAACTATTTTACCACACCACCACGCATTATCTATCATACTTCGGAATCGCTGACCTTGAGTAAATCAGAAAAAAGTTTAATTTAATTACTTTAATGTGAAATAAAAAAAAATAATCATACCTTCTTTCCATTTTCTAGCTAACCCCGCTTCGTATGTTTGCCGTAGAACTAAAAAGTCAATTACATCTTGCATATCATGATATTTAAGATCAAAACTAAATGAAGTATGATCTCCATTTTCTTTTAGTACCGCTAAACGTAGACCACATAAACGAGGTGGTCTAATTTCATACTTTATTCCAATTACTTTTACCATTTGTGGTTCCTTATTATTGATTTACTATTAATATTTAATATTAAACTTACACAACTTGGAAGTTCTTACTTTAAGTTCTAATTCTCCCCATGGAGCACATTGTGATTTTCTCAATTTGTAAACCTTCTTAGTTTCTACTGCTTCTAAATACAAATTATAACCTTGTTCAAAGAACATTAAAATATCACCCATTTGGGGACAATAGGGCGACTTTTTTGGTAAAACTTCTGAAAACCATTCGGAAGGTCTATATATTTCTGGAACGTCCTAATAATAATAATAATAATAAATTCCATAAACTAAAGATAGATAAATTTGAAAAAATGGAATTGTATCACTGAAAAATGTTTACTTTTTTAACTTTTCTAGGAGGTACAGTTTTAGGCCCTTCTTGGGGAGAAGATGGTGGTGATGGAGATGAAGGTGGAGTAGTTGGTCTCTTAACACGCCGTCTTCGATGTTGAGTACGTTTGGGCGGTTCAAGGTTTGTACCACTATCGGCTACCCAATCAGAATATTCAGAACTAGTACCAGAATCAGTATCTGACGATGATTTTCCATCTGAATCAATTCCATCAGTGTAATCAGCATCTTCAGATTCAGATTCATCTGAATTAGATGATGATCTATTTTCCTGAAATACAATTTAAAATTATATTATAATATTAATAATTAAGTTTACTTCAAATTTTTTTTAACTTAATTAAATAAATTTTTTTCAAACCTGTAGATCATTTTCAACAATAGTTGCTCTAGTACTATATGAATGTTTTGCTTGTGGTCTTTTTCTTGGTTTAATAGATAGAACTTGTGGCTTTTCATCGACTATTATTGGTTTTTCACTTTCTATAGTAAACTCTTCTTCTTCCATGGTTTCCAACATTTTACTAAAAATAAAATGTTTTAACAGTTATTTATTTATTTAAATTATTAGTAAAATACACCAACCAATGGACAGCTTTTGAAAAAGCAAATTGGTTAAAATAAAGAGTTATGCAGGTTAAATACATATATGCTATCGTTCTATGTATCTGTAATTTGAGTAAACTAGAAACAGCCCTTAAAATAATTTTAATGTTAAATATGTAAACTAAAAGAAAAAAAAATTTTCAAAGCCATCATTGTTATAGAATAATATTTAAGTGCAAAATCAGAATACAATTTATAAAATTTGAAATTAACTATGCATATTTGTTTTTCTTGTTCTTTATTCTACATTGAAACCTCTCAGACATAGAAATTAAGTTAAAAAATTTGATAAAAACATACATTCGATTTTGAATTTGATCCATTATTGATGGTGTCAATGGTTTACAAATAATTCTTGGTCGATTTTCAAATGAAAATGAACTACCACTTTGTTCAACTGATGGATGTAAACTTATAACTCCTACAATACATATGTATACATATTACAAATAAATATTATGTAAATTAAAAATATTTTACATACTTGACTGGTTTGGTGAATTGTTAGATAAATGTTCAACTGTGTTCATATTAGCCGTTCCTCTAATTCCAATAACTTCAGTTCGACCTAATATAAATAGTTTTAAAAAAATTTAGAACACAGAAAAAAATTAAGATTAATGATAAAAATAAAATAAAAATGTATAATTTATGGTACCTACCCAATTCATTGATTATTACATCTGCTACTAATTGTAAAAGTCCTTCATTTTCTTTTCCGGGAACTAATCTTTGAATTTCTGGTGGATAAGGTGATCCATCTGAGTCAACTAAAAATGGAGGAGGCATTAAATGTGGATCCATATTGGTTTGCTCATCTAAAACTGAATGATCTGCTGCTCTTAACAATGGTCGATAATCAGTGTGAAAAAATACTTCATATGGGACCTAAAAAATATTAACAATTAATAAAATAATAACTGTTATTTAATTTTGACAGAATATACTTTTCTACGAGGTGGGGGTATTCCTAATCCATAAGTTAATAAATGACCTTGTGAATCAGTCACTGCAAACATTGTTCCGTCTGGTGACCATTTAGCATCAAATAATGCAGCAAACCCTTGACCTTCAATTGAATTTTGAAATGACACCAAAACTTCTCCAGTTATAATATTCCATAAAAATATTTTGCCATCATGACCAGCACTCAACAAAATCTTAAAACAATATTTTGAATGTGTAACAAATTACAAATTATATATATCTACTACATGTTAATACAATTAGTTTTCCAAAGAGAAATATGAATTATATAAGTTAAGGATGATTGTGGATAAAATGAAGCTACAGTATGCCTAAGACCAACTGCAAATATCAAATTCAGTTATTAATTTTACATAATAGCAGAGGACTACTAATTATTTATAGAGCAAATACTTCGGGAAGAAGTATTATAAATTACTTTATATAAATGAGTAAAAATTAATAGTAATCAGGTGGTGGATATTGAATCTTGTAAGATAAAACTTCTAAAACTTCAAACATTTTTTTTATATTTACCATCAAGTTACCTTCAATATGTAGTATAATTAATAATTATATTCAATAAAAAATTAAACGTAAAAACATAATATAATAAAAGGAAATTATACAAACCTTAGAATGAAATGGATGAGATTCTAAAACATATACTTCTTTTTTATGTCCAATCATAACTTGTAAGAGTTCAGTAGTATAAGAATCCCAAACTTTTATAGTCATATCTGTACATGCAGTTAAAATCCAACGATCACTTTGATCCCAACATAAATATGTTACAGATGGTTTAATCTGTTTAAGTTCTTCATCAGATTTCTTTTCGCCAAGACTAAACATTTTGAATTAATTTTTTTATTTTTAAAATATATTATTACTTTTTAACTTTAATGAACTTACTTTTTTTTCAATTTTGTTGTCATATGCAATGTTTTGAATTTCCATTCTTGATTTTTATAAGACCAAATTAAAGCTGTACCATCTTTAGAGCCAGAACTAAATCGTAAACCACTATGAGCCCATTGTATTGAATCGACAGTGTCAGAATGAGCTTCAACTTCCATTAAGCGTACTGGAGACGACGCATCTGGTGTTGGAGGTGTCATTTTGTATACTCTAACATTGTGATCAGCACTACCAGTGGCGAACATAACACCACCAGCTGAAAAAGCACCACAAAGTATTTTGGCACTCCCAGGGCGCATACGTTCATTATAAACTGTTAAATTAGGTCTATAAAATCATAAACAACATTTTAATATATTATTTAATAAGATAATAAAAATAAATAAATAAAATAACCAAAACACTCACTCAAAAGTTGTATTTCCATTGCTAGATCTAAATGGCCAGAATACAACAGAACCATCAGTACTAGTAGAAGCTATATAACCAAGTCCACTAAATGTTTGTGGACAAAAATTTACAGTTACTATCATACTGGCGTGTGCTACAACATGAGCAATCTAAATAAAAAATTGTGAAGTCAAATTTAAATTCTACAAAATGTTTATACATTTATTATGTTATGCAATTATTAACTTAGTGCAGTATATATTGCATTTCAATATGTACATTTTTATTTATTTAATAAAGAGCACCAGGGTTAAGAGCTTGAAATATTGAAATATTAATATAATATTAAATAATAAAGAGTGTCAAGGGGCTCTTATATCCACTTTCATTAAGTGGTTGAAATATTATGCTTGCCCTTTTTGGATACATAGTAGAAGCCACCTATTAATAACACAGATAATTAATATGATCGTGTTATTGAAACAAAATGTATAGTGACGGAACCGTCATATATTAAAACCAATTAATTGAAAAGTTTCATCTCGGTCCCAAAGTAGTACTGTATTATAATAATTATTGTTTCAAACTTACTGGTCTAGATGTTTGGAGACACCAGACTCTCAATACTTTGTCCATGCTTCCTGCTGCAATTAAAGTGGCTTGAGTGTTAATTGCTATATCTGTTATTTCAGCACTGGCGCCTCTTAAAGTTGATAAGAGACGTCCAGTATTTGCTTCCCATAATTTAACTAAGTAATCATCAGCTCCCTAAAATTAATGATCATGATAGATAAAATTAAACAATATTAGATTTTGATCTATATATAACATACTGTAGCTATAAATCGGCCAGATGTATCAAAACAGACACAGTAAACAGCGGTTAAATGTCCAAGAACCCGTCCATGAAATTCTGCATTTGAAAACTTTGATACAGGAAGTAAATATCTTTTATCAACTGAACCAGAAGTTTCACGACCAATAAGCATTTTGACTAAAAAAATACATTATAAATTCTGTTATGCAATTGATGTATGAATAGTAGGTATTTAATAATTACCAATATTATGACCTCGTATATGAGTAGGAGGTAATGGCAAGGCATTATGTTGACGTGTAATACAATCAGAAAGTGATAAGTATTTGCGTTTTTCTAAAACCAATAAATTATTTTTAATAAGTAAAATTTCTAATAATAAAATGTATAAAACCAAAATTTTAATATACTTTGGGTATTAACAAGTGAAAAGCTTCCTTTTCCGAGTAATGAAAAAACAACTGGAACAGGAGATTTTTCATAGTTGCTCAATAATCGGATACGTTTACAAATTTCTAGTAAATGATCTGATCTAATATGATCATATTTCCTTTCCTATAAATTATTAAAATAAGTTTATATATTTTTAAAATAAAATAATGGATGGATTAATAATTATATTAAAATTGTTGGTACTATTCAGTTATCTTGACTACCTGTACATAGCCTTCTACTTAACAATATTTTTGACAGATGGAAGTTTGTGGGCTCAAAGTATGGATCACTACACTATGCTTACTAATTTTAGGGTAAGTTTACATAACATGTTGAAAGTTTAATCAAAAATAAACTCCGATTTATTAGTAAAACCACATAGAGTAGGTAACAGCAGAAAAAATAGGTAGTCGAGATATCTAAAAAGTACCCAATTTTCAACAAATTTACATAAAAGAAAAAAGGAATTAAATTAATTATTTTACTTAATCATTAATAATAAATGATATCCATGAAAATTTAACTTTTAAAAATTTAACTAAAAATATCCAAAATCTTAGTTAGTAAATAAGGCCAACAATCAATTAAAAACAACTATGTATGACATCTGTTTGGTTTATTGTAAAGTTTAGATGATATTTTATTAACATTTTATAATACTTATACTTTTAGTTACATTTACAAATTTAAATTCAAAACCCTCTTTAGAATTCTATAAAACTGTTATAACTGTAAAGCTTGTATAAATAAATATTTTGATTCAAGGAGGCAGTATACTTGGTGTAATCATATTTTTTTAAAATAGATTTAAATATTTTAATTTCATGTAAGTATATTATTATTATTCAAACTAAGTAATTTGGTACATATCTATTATATTTAAAAATCTCAAGATTCCCTCCCATATTAAAACAAACTCAATGGATTTTTCTTTAAAATCTATACTAATGGATATAACAAATTATATATAATAAAAAGTTATTATTATAATGTAATGAAAAATGCTAATTATACCATTTCATCAAATGTTTGCTGATTATCTTGTCCCAAAAAATCAATTCGTGTAGGTAAAATCTAAAAATAAGTAAATTTTCACAGTAAAACTTTTTAATTTTTTTTATTAAAATAAATATATGTCTTACATTTGATTCATTTAAATCAGATTTCAGTGCCTAAAAATAATAATAAAAACAAAAGAATGAATAAACAATATGCATTTAAAACTCCTCAAAATCAATATCAACACAATTTACTGTATACATATTTAAACTAGTTTAATTTAATAATTGAAATAATAGCTTACTTCAAACGCATTTTTAAATTGACTATCCTTCAGAAACTTAGCGATCAAAAAGAATAACTCTAAAAATAATAATAAAGAACTTAATCAATTGAAAATGTACAAATTACATATTAAAAATTAAAAAAAATAATTTGTTGAATGTATGTTGAGTTATTGAAATAGTATAACATATAATAATTTCTTACCCGATTTAATACTGTCATTTTCTACCTCCATTATTTCCAATGTTTTATCACTGCTATTGAATTATTTAAAATGTATAATAAAAGCTTTCACATAATATAGGTTAGATATTTATTAGATTAAAAACTAAATATTAGATGTTTTAGAAATAAACCAGAATATATAAAGATTAATAATAAAAATACTAAAAAAAAACTCATAAAGGTATGAAACAAAAATTGTCATGAGTATAAAGAAAATTGATAAACTATATACATAAACAAACTTCATAAACATATCACAAAAATCGTATCAATATTTTTACAGGTTTTTTGATTTTTAACCACGGTTAACCATATACCATTTAATTACGTAATGATAATATTGGTTAATCTGTTTATGAGTTATTGGCGGGAAATCGTCTACACTTTATGTAGGTTATGTTTTGTAGTTTTGTTATGTTTTCAATGTTTTCAATTGTTCATTGTTACTTGTTAGTTTACAATATTTATTAAAATTAAAGACATTTTATAAAAATGAGTGACACTACAGGTAAGAATAATTTATATTTTCGAAGTTAATAATGTTTGTTTATTATATACTATTATAAATTAAATAGAGTCATCCAGACCAAAACGATTAAAACCTGGACAATCCAGTCGGTTTGAAGCTCTAGCAAAATTAAAAAAACTTAAATCTGATGGAACTAAGCATAAGTATGAAGTAGAGCCCTTGCAAAATGTTTATGAAGAAGTTTCAGAACAAGAATATACTAATAGAGTTGTAAAGAGGCAACAAGATAACTGGATCGTTGATGATTGTAAAACATATAAATTAATATTCAAACAAAATATATACCTATATAATTTAAAATTATTGTTTTCTAGTTGATGTTGATGGCTACGTTGAAGATGGAAGAGAAATTTTTGATGATGATTTGGATGAAGCTTCAATTGTTAAAGAAGAAAAAAAAGGAAGAGGTAAAAAAAGAAGTAGAGCTGACAAAAGTTTTGATGAAGATGCTTCCTCTTCAAATAGAGATATTCAAAAAATGTTTGCTAATATGCCTATAAAGAAAAAAAAAGAAGTAGGTATATTTTATATTTTAATATTCTCTTTTTTTTTCGAGTGTTAAATATCTTAAATTACAAATTATATTATTTTAAATCCAAAAATCATCAAATATTGGTAAGTATTTATAAATATTTATATATTTATATATATTTGCTCTGCTCAGAATTAAAAATTTAATTAATTCAATTTGAATAAAACTGTATTTATTTTAGGTAGCAATTAATCTAGTTGATGATAATATTCTTGATGATTTAATTCAAGAGTTGGACAGTTCTCCTAAACCAGGAATTTCAAAAACACCTCGATTGATTCATAGTAAAGTGACTGATAAAATAAAAAGAGAAAGCCAAACAAGGTAAACTAAATTAGTATTTAGTAATGTAATGTTTATACCTACTTTTTTACATGATTTTTAGTTGTTTATATATTGTTAATATTTTACAGAGGATATTTAGAATCATTTTCTACTGTATTGAAATCTCCGTTGACATCTGTGAATAATACAATTTCTAAAATAAAATATTCCAATGAAACATCAGAAAGTAATAAGTTGAATGATCTCAATATTAATGAAACTAATGATCAGAATAAAGATAATAAAATAATGAATGAAGTAAAAGTTAATAAAATTATTGATATGATTTTTATATAATTATCAACTTAAATAAAAAATTAAAATTAAATACCTTTCTATTTTAATTTAATATAAATTGCAGCCTGAATTAAAAACTGATTCTATAAAACAAGAATTTGCTGCAGATGAAAATTTGATGGACAGTATTGATGATTTTGATTTTGAAGCAGCAATGGAGGTAAACATACTTAAAAGAATTAAAAGAGGTGATTTTCTATCTGTCACACATGTAACATAGGAATTTGGACATGTTCTATTTCCAGTATACCGATTGGTCTTCTTGAATGATAAAAATTATGAAAACAGATATGAATTTGTCATCAAATATACTTGAAATCGACTTTCTCACTTTTTTGATTTTATTCCCCTAAATCCTGAAAAGAACCTTATTATGGACCAAATTTAAATTAAATTAATTCATCTATTATTCTTTTAAAAACCTAATTAGCATTTTTAAGATTTATAGGGAGATAAAATCAAAAATGTAAAAAAACTGATTTCAAGTAGATTTGACAACTAATTCAAATCTGTTTTCAGAAAAACACTTCACAAAACCAATCAGTACAGTGAAAGTAGAATACAACTATATTCCTATGTTGCATGTGCGTAAGATAAAAGCATAAAATGACCGCTTTCAGTTTCCTTAAACTATCAATTTATGAAAGTAATATTTTTTCTAACTACAGGATGAAAAAAGTTTTGTTGAACTATCAAACTTAAGTATTAAAAAAGAGCTAGAGGAAACTAAAATTAAAATTGACTTTGAAGATACTGAATGGCCTATTGAAAAGTAATTATTAGAACATGATTATTTTTGTAATTTTTAATGTGATTTTAAATTAAATAGTGTTCAAGAAGAAGAACAAGTTGCCTTACCACATGACGTTTCTTCTAAATTACCTTTGACAACAAATAAAAATGGAACTCAAGTAAGTAATTTTATGTCTGAAAATTAAAATATGAACATAACATTTATAACGTTATAGAATAGTTTAAACAAATTTATTGAAATTTAAATTCATTAAATGTGTGGATTTTATGATAATTTACCACATCTTTAATAATAAATAATTCACCAACTGTATTAAATTAATATTATAAATATTCAGATTTATTTCAACTTTATTAATATTGTTTGTACTAAATATTTATTTATTTTATTTTAAAATTAATGTCAAACAGCAATTACAACTATAATATATATAAATTCTAACAGTATATGCACATGTCAATTTAATATATGAATTGTTAAGAGTCAAGGAGTATGTATTCTGAGCATGTGGTGAAGGGGGTGGTTATGCTTAGGGATAACGATAGAAGACTCATTAAGGATAGAACAATAGGAGACCTTAAAAGAAACTTACTAGAAGATCAAGAACATTCAGCCAACCATTTGGAAATGAATGAATGAAGTGTTTTGAAATGTTGCGATTCAAGAGTTTGATAGAGAGGACTGCTTGGATAAGCTTATAGTCATGGTGGACGACTGAGGGATAAAGAATGAATGCAGTATAAGCTAAGAATTTATTCTGTATACATTTTAGACAAAGTTAATCTTTTGCAATGAAAGCGTGATAAATAACCGAACCGTATTATAGTTGTTTGACAAGTGAAAGATACAAAAAGAGGATTTTAATTTTTTGCTATTATATTTAATGAACCCAAAGATTTTCAGCATTCTATTGGCCATAAAGTTAAAATGATTTAAAAGAAAGAGAGCAAGTGTAGTAGATATTATCTAGATCTTTAATAATGGAAACACATCATAAGAAAGAGTTGTGTATTGTATAGGTGAGAGCAATAGGAGAGCGAGATTTAGAGAAGGAAATTATTATATTACATTGTTTTATAGCTAATAATTAGGGCTCAGAATTTGACCTACAAATCTTGAAAAAATGCATAAAATGATTAAACATATTTAAAAATAATCTAAAAAATGTTTATTTTATTATCAATTATAAAAATTAAATTATTAAATTAAAAATATCACTTAAATATAACACTCAGAACTTTTTATGTGCCTAAAAATCTTTTTCTAGTTTCTGGATTTTACTAATTTCAATTTTAAAAATTAGAGGAAGTTAAAATAAAATTAGGTACCTAGGCAAATAAATATTATATTATTTGTATACATTTCATGTCCATATGTGAGTGGGTGTTGTATTTTATCGAGGCAAACAGAGAATGTACTGTTTGCACTCGTGCCTTCCTCATTATAGCTCAGACTTAAAACCAAAAAAATGCAAATTTACTTAAATAAAAAATATACCAAAATTGATAAAAAAAAAAAAAAAATGATGAATCAAGAAAAACCAAAAAAAAAAAATTTGTACCATTGAATTCAACTAGAATGTAAACATTAGAAAAAAATATGTGAATGTATGAAGTTTTAGATCCTACAAATAATATACGAATAATATTTTTTAAAATATAATTTAAGGTTTTTCGTTTCTATTATTTGGATGCATTTGAAGACGTATATAAACAACCTGGAGTGGTATGTCTTTTCGGAAAAGTGAAACCTGTTAATTTTGATTCATATGTTAGCTGTTGTGTAATAGTTAAAAACATTGAAAGAAGAATGTTTTTGCTCCCAAAGAATTTAGTAAGATTAAAATTATAACCAACAAATATTAATACTCAACTGATAACCAATACATTAATTAAATATTTTTTACAGACATCCGATAATGAAGAAGTTAAAATGATTGATGTGTATAATGAATTTAATAGTCTGGTTGACAAATATCTAATAAAAAATTTTAAATCTCGTAAAATCTCAAAAAAGTATGCTTTTGATCTTGCAGATGTTCCAGATGAAAGTGAATATTTGGAAATTAGATACTCTGTTAGTACATTGTATGATTAAAAAGCTTAATACAAAGATATCTAATTACCTAATTTTCTTATAAGGCATCTCATCCACCTTTACCTGATAATTTAAGTGGAAAAACCTTTAGCAAAGTATTTGGTACAAATACTTCATTTTTAGAGCTTTTACTTTTGGATCAAAAGATTAAAGGACCATGTTGGCTGGATATAAAAACTCCACAACTTTCTAATAGTCCTATGAGCTGGTGCAAACTTGAGGTAACCATTATGTTAATTAATCTGTTTGTTTCTTATTTTAAATTTTCTGTTAAGTAAGAAAGATATTAGTTTTAAAGTTAAGAATTAAATGGTTTTTTTATGATACATAAATTAGGGATGGGCAACCCAAAGTTACTAGAGGGCCAATTTTAAAAATCTAGCAGGGCCAGAGCTTGAAAGCAAAAAAAATCATTCAAGTTTCAAATTTACAATTAGCATTTATTTTGTAAAATTTTTACAACTTGTTTAATATGAGATTTGAGGATGTATAGTTGCAATGATAATTTAGCTAAATCCAACTTCTATTCTAAAGTGGAAGCACATAATAGTTGACTTAATGTTTCACTTATAAGGCAATTTATTTCCTTTGATTTGATATGCTTCATAGAAAATGTATATTCACAAAAGGAAGTCATTCCAAACATAGATAATATTTTAAATGCAAAATGCATAAATATGGATACTTTTCAACTGGTCATGTTTTCAAAAATGATACATCAATATCTTTTGTAGACAAAAATAGATCTCTTTGAAGTAAAGCATTTTGTTTCTCAATTTCAACTTTTATTAAATAAATTTATTTATGATCAACATAATAAAATAAAATACAAATAAACTTTAAAATTGTATATAGTAATTAGAAATTGTAGCACTGGCAAGATAAAAAAGTATGCGGGTCATCATGGCCCATCTCTGATATTTATGAAATATTTGTGAAAATTAAAATGCTTAAGAAGCATCATACAGTAACTTTATAAATAGATAATTAAGTACTAAGTGATTTTTTGGAAGTTTCCAATTTGTTCTAAAAATCTTGAAAACTTTAGATTCGAGTTTAATTTTTTCACTTCTCAGAATCTTTTTTTGAATTCCTTAATTTTTTTTTTGATATTTTCAATTGGTTGTATAACTCACTATAAATTATATTTTCACAGGTACTATGTTTAGACATGAAAAATATTCAATTGGCACCAGCTGTTTCACCCCCACCAATAGTTATAATGACTTTAAATCCAAGAATTACCTATAACAAAAAAACAAGACAAAATGAAATATTAATTTTAAGTTGTTTAATACATACACAATTTCCAATAGATCAAACTCCGCCAACTACTCTTCATAATCAATTTTTTTGTGGTGATTAAAATATTAATATACTGTTTATATGTCTTTATTCAAATTATTCAACAATATAAGTTTATTTTTTTCTTTTTTTTATGCTAATTTTTATTAGAACATAACATGTTCTAAACTAATTAAAACATAAAAACTAATTTTACAATATTTATTTCTGATGTATATAAATAGCAATTTCACGACCAACTAATACACTATGGCCACCACGATACCAAGAAGAATTAAAAAAGTGTGGAGATCCATCCAAAATAATAAAAATGGATTCAGAACGAGCTCTGCTAACATTTTTTCTTGCAAAAATGTCTAAAATTGATCCAGATTTGATAGTTGGACATGACATTTGTAGTTATGTTTTATCCACACTTGTAAACCGCTTGGAAGCTAATAAAATACAAAACTGGTCGAAAATTGGACGTCTTCGTAGAACTTTATTTCCAAAAAAAGTAACCATAAAAAAATTATAATAAAATAATACCATTTAAAATGGTATTTTTTTTCATTTATTTTTTAGGGTAAATTTTTTAGTGAAAAAAATGTTCTCAGTGGTAGATTGATTTGTGACACCCAAATTTCTGCAAAAGAATTAATTCGGGCTAGAAGTTATGATTTATATTCCTTGTCAGAACAGGTATATTATGTTAATACAAATTACTGATATATTTTTTATTGTAACATGTATGAAATAAGAAATAATTTAACTAAATTCAATTAATTTAATTATTAAAAGTGATTTAATTATCAAAAAATATTATGTCCTGTCTGATTTATGTTTTATTTTATTCTTTTAGATTCTCAATATTAAAGAAAATGAACATTTTAATTTTTCTGATGATGAAGTTAGTTATATGTATTGGTATGTTTTTAGTATAAAATAAAATCAATTTAATTATTATGTATTTTACTAATATAAATTTACAGTTCCAGTGAATCTTTAATACAACTCATAAAATTTACTATTATGGATACATCGTGTGTAATGCGACTTATGTGTCAAATGAATGTATTGCCCTTAGCACTTCAAATTACTAAAATTGCAGGAAATTTACTATCTAGAACATTAATTGGTGGTCGTGCTGAAAGAAATGAATACTTATTATTACATGCTTTTAATGAAAAAGGCTACATACTTCCTGATAAACAATATAAAAAGAAAATTGACCTTAAAGTAATATATTAATATTTATGAAAATGTACTTTAGTTTGTCAACTTTAAGCATAATAAATAATTTTAATTAGGACAAAGATGATAGTCATATTAAAGACAATAATGTTAAACAAATTGGCCGTAAAAAAGCACAATATTTAGGAGGTCTTGTACTTGATCCAAAAGTTGGTTTTTATGATAAAATGATTCTACTAATGGATTTTAATTCCCTTTATCCGAGTATAATTCAAGAATACAATATATGCTTTACTACTATTAATTTCCGAAACTTGCAAACAGCTGATGAAGAGGTTAATATTTTCATATAACATACATTATTATAACAACTTAATTGTTATTTATTTGATTTTAAATTAGGGTGATAATGAAATGGAAGAATTATTAAAATTAATACCAAATCAAACTGTTGCTCGGGGAATTTTACCTGCTGAAATTAAATCATTGGTAGATTCACGTAGAGAAGTGAAGAAGTTAATGAACGATCAAAAAATATCCAAGACACTTAAAGAACAAGTGAGTTAATAAAGTACAATAAAAGAAAAAATAGCAATATTATATTTTTGTTTCAGTATAACTTGAGACAAACTGCATTAAAACTTACAGCCAATAGTATGTATGGATGTTTGGGATTTACACATTCACGATTTTATGCTAAACCACTAGCAGCATTAATTACTGCTAAAGGACGAGAGATTTTGATTAGTACCAAAGCATTAGTAGAGAAACTAGCTTTTGATGTTATTTATGGAGATACAGATTCATTAATGATTAATTCGAACTGTGTTGATTATGATCAAGTTATGAAAATTGGTTATAAAGTACGATTATTTTTATATATATATATATGTGTAGAACCTTTTAAAATTATTTTGTTTTATATTAGATTAAAGCAGAAGTCAATAAAATATATAAACAAGTTGAATTAGATATTGATGGAATTTTTAAGTATATGTTGCTATTAAAAAAAAAAAAGTATGCAGCTGTATCTATATCAAAACAATCTTCGGGTGAATTTTTAACAAAAGAAGAGATTAAAGGGTTAGACATTGTAAGAAGGGATTGGTCACAACTATCACAAGAAGCTGGGCGGTAAAATTATTATATTTGATCATAATTAGTATTAAAAATAAAATGTAGCCAATTCATTTATGCCAGTTTGTTATTATAGATTTGTTTTAAGACAAATATTATCTGATCAGTCTCCCGAAGAAAGAGTATCAAACATTTGTGCTCAGTTAAATAAATTAAAAGTTGATTTGGAAGAAAATAATGTTCCATTGGGTTTGCTGGCTATTAGTAAAACTTTAACAAAAGCCCCTCAAGATTATCCTGATGCTAAAGCATTACCACATGTTGCTGTAGCACAACGTCTTAACAAACAAAGTATCAAATTTAGACAAGGCGATACTATATCATACGTTGTGTGTGAAGTATGTTTTTTTTTTTAAATGAATAATAAAAATAATCAAGTTACATATAAACAATATAATAAATTACGATTTATAGGATGGAACAAATTTGGCACCAACTCAAAGAGTTTATCATATAGATGAATTAAAAACCAATACTTCATTAAAAATTGATATTAAATATTATTTAGCACAACAAATACATCCAGTAATAATGAGATTATGTTTACCGTTGGAAAACATTGATGCTAAAATGATTGCGGAACATTTAGGTTTTGATTAACTACTTCAACATATATTTTATTGTAGAGTTAATTATATTTTTTAAACAGGTCTTGATCCAGCACAATACCAAAATCAAAGAACAAAATCCGATTATATAAATTCTATTGAAGAAACTACAATAGATTTAGATGATGCGACGAGATTTAATAATTGTGATCAGTAAGTTAAATATATATTACTTAAATATTATTTTATTTTTATACATATACAATTTAGGACTAATTCATATTTTTAACAATACATTTTAGATTTAAATTTATATGTCTTGCCTGTAAAACTAATGTAGAAATATCTGCACCTGCTATAAAAAAGGTATAATAATATAAATTGATTATACAATTTATCCTACTCGTAAATGTTAATTTAATTTAATTTTTTATTTCAATGTTATAGCCTAATGGTCAATTAGAATTTTCTTTGGAAAATTGTTCTAATCCAGATTGTTGTATTCCACCATATAATTATCTCAACAAATTAGAAGATAGTTTATGGATAGCTATAAGAAAACATACAATGAAACATTATAAAGTAATACATTTTTTTTAATATTATTTATTTATTTATTAAGTTGTACATATTAATACTGGGTCCCACTGAGAAGATTTGAATTGAGGCTCAGAAATTCTAAATTTGTTTATGCATCACATCTTTTTGATAGGTATACAGGGTTATCCATTTAAAGTGGCTATACTCAATATTTCAAATAGTTGAATGTTTTCAAAAGACTATTTTTTGTTAATTTAAGATACAAGTAGTTTTAAATGTTACATTTTTATTATTCTTATAGAAGAAACCTACTTTTGTTTTTCAAACAGCAACCTATACTTAAAATGCTATAATGAGATGAAAGGGTTAATTAAATACATTTTGGTTTTAGCATATTTTATTTCCATTAACCTATAGATAAAATATTCCACTTTTAATTTTGGGTGGGAGGAGAGTAGTACAGTATTATTAAAACTGCCTATATAATATAATATTTGTATACAATTATATATCTATCTCGTAACATAGTATCATATTATTCACATTATGATACTAAACCGATTATACACAAATGAACAAATTGTGTACAATTGTTATTGTTTCTATTCTGACTTATTGGTTATTTGAAACTTAAAAGCAATAATATTGTTTGATTTGCTATTAATTTTATAGTTCATCTTAGTGGGGTTCAGGCTTTTAGACCAACCCGCTGAAACAAATTTTGCTGCATCCTCTCCCTGTTCAATTGTATACATTCAATTTATTTATAATTAAATATGTTTTTCTAGAGTGATTATGTATGTGATGATGGTACTTGTGATTATAAAAGCAAATATATACCGAGTACAGCTGATGAAATTTGTAAACAATGTGAATCTGGAACATTAAAAAGAGAAGTAAGAACCCTATCAGATTATATATTTCATAGTTTATGCTAATAGTTATTATTATTTTTTTAATTAAACCTACATTTAAAAATTATGATTCGAGCACCAAATGTTATAAAAGTATGAAAAAATTCCAAGCCAAAATTAAAATAATGAGTGAAACTCAATGAATGTTAAAATATAGACAATACTTTTTGACTGAACAATGTTACTAGAAAATTATTAATAATACACCACACTAAAAATAAAAATAGCTAAAATAATATATTATTCGTTTATTTATATTTATTTAATATTTTCATTTGTATTGAAGTTTATTAGTCCATAGAATTTTATTGCATTATATTCATTCAATTTTAATAATTAGGAATTTTACTTAAATAATTATTTTATTGTATATACTTTATTAGCATAATATGTGTTATGCATTATAAGCATTATGATCTAATATGATATTGTTTTATTATTTTTTTTAGTATTCGTCTGGTCAACTACTATTTCAATTGAGATATTATTGGTTTTTGTTTGACATTGATAAAGTGTTACAAAGAAATAAGGAACTTAAATTGACAAAAGACAATCCTTTATATATAGCTTATAACAGACTAAAAGCTATTGTTGAAAAAGTACTAAAACATCACGATTTCTACTATATTAATTTAAAAGATATATTTGGTCGTAACTAAATTTTTTTAATTTAATTTTATATATATAATGATGCATTTTTTTTTTTACCCATATAATATTTCTTTATTATTAGTTAATATATATAATAGTGTACTATAGTTTTATTTATATCACAAAATCCAAACATATAAATTTAAATACATTTAAGATTTAGTGTTATACATATATATAAATATATTTTTTTTCATTCCCATCATAATATTATTTTTTACAATAAACCACATGTTTTAAATATAGTTTTATATTTAAGTCATATTTAAAAATTATATAATTTTGTATAAATTAAATTTACCATTTAAAATGTTTTTAGTGTATATTATACATGATTAAATGATCTACAAAAGACTCAATTATTTAATTTGAGTCATATGCTATGTACCAAATGTAGGCCTTGAAAGATCAAAAAGATTACAATTTGATAAGTTATTTTGAAACTATTAAAAATTTGAAAAAATGTTGAGCTGCCCTAAATCACTTTTATATTGATTTAATAACAAAAAATAATATTTTGCTACGCACTCATCAACTTTAAACTTAAATTTAAATGTCACTTCAAATGTTTTAACTCTATGGTAAATGTATCGCTCAATACGTTTGCACATGTTGATGTGTAAATATCTTGATCTTTAATATTTTCAATGTAGTTATATGTTTTTATATCATTAATGTCATGATATTGATACAATGTGATTTATTTATATTTTTTTATTTTTATTGGGTTTTTTTTATGAACTTGCGGGGTTTATATTGATTACCAATTATCAAACTTGTATCTATACCAAATAAAACAATCTTATGTTGGCCTTACACGCCAAATTTTATTTATTATAATTTTAGCCATGGTTGACCACTAGCTGGTGACAGCGAGCCATATTTATCGAAACTCGTGCAATACTCAGCAAAATTTAATGTAGCAATAATAAAATAATTGATTGCACTTCTTGGTCAATTTTTATACCTGTTTCTCGGAAATCCTAATAATAAATCATAATATTTAGTATTTTTAACAAAATACATTGGAATTTAAATGGCTGTGATATAATTATACATATAGGTTTGTATATGAGTATTTGTGTGTATGCACAGTATAAAAATAAACAAAAAAATATAAATAATCAACTAAAAATATCCTTATTATGTAGAATATAAAAAAGTGAATATCAAGGTTATCCCTTTACGACAATGAAAAAATATCTGTTCTTTACCAAGGGGTAGTTCAGTTTTGTTTTTTTTTTTATTTGAAAAGTAGCGAGGGATCTATTGGTTTTAAACCTATGATGTATGTTTTATTTTATTTTTTTAAATTTTTTTGTGACAGCAACTTTTCTACCAGAAATCTTCCTTCTTTTCTGAAATTCAATTTTCTCTAGTTGGTGCATTGAGAAGTTAACTTTTTGATTTTCCTAAGGGTTTTTAAAGTAATTGGATAAAACCAGAACAAAATTATACGTAAAATGGCAAATATTTACGGCAGATTATGTTAGGTTGGTCTTTGCAGCTTTACCAATTTTATTATTTTTAATTTTTATAAATTATGTTTTCTACCAGACATACTGTTTAATCAAAAATTGCGAAGAAACAATATAGGCCTGTAATGTACATATACTGTACACAAGAAAAATAACTGATATCTACTGCTGAACCTTAAATTGTAAAATCCCTTTATATTTAACCGTATAATAACAAACAACTAATTTTAAAATAACCAAACAGTTATTTCCGTAAACTTTTCAATTGTCCTGGTATTGCCAATTATTAAGAAAACTATACGTACATTTTTACGGTTTTGTTTTCTACTAGAATATGGCTCCAAACGAAAAAGATATGGGATTGTTTTGTTGCATTTTAGACTCATTTGGTAAGTAAGAAAGACGTTTTTGTTTCTTCATGAAGTTTACTATTAAAATCGAAAAAAGAACAGGAACGATTATGAAAATAATGGTTTCATTATTTTAAATTTAATTTTTTTATACGTGGTAAAATTTTCAAAATATTTTGGATTTTTATGAACTATATTCATAGGTAGGTAACCAGATAGATATAGTTAATTTTATATTTACGTAGTTTTTATTTGGTGGGTACTACCTATGTAATATAATTTTTTTACCAAACAAAAATGCTTGAAAAAACGTAGGCATTTGGTGGTCAAAACAAAAATGAGCAATGTAATATTTTTTTTAGATTCTGAGTGGAGCGAATGGTTTTACAATGATGTTTATTGTTATTATTTTATTTTTAACTGGGAACAACTTTTCTACCAGAAATATTGCTTCGATTTACAATGATTAATGATAGTACTTTTTCTGAAAAGAAATCTAGTTAGGGTGGTACTTTAAAAAGATAATTTTTTAATTTTCTTAATAAATGAAAAAAACGAGAAAATATACGAAATGTAGGTATTAGTTAATAAATACTACAGTCTTTTTTTTCTGTGGACAACTTTTCTACCAGCAATTGTTTATTGTTCCTAACAAATTTACCTAGATAAATTAAACACCTTTATGCATCCTACCTACCTTTCTAACTTCCCACCTACAACAGTGATACTCAGTAATCAGCTCTTTTATTATAATTTGAATAAAAATATTCGATAAGCAATATACTTTTCGATATAACCCACTGTTTTCGTTAGAACATTTTGCGATTTTTATTTTTTTGAGATTCCAATTGGTACCCTGTATCTAACTGGGAGTTTAATTCTCTGATTACACCAATAGGTACCAACAAAAAGGTAATCAGATATCCGTTCGGAATTAAAATATAGTATAATAGCTTGTATAGTATAAAGTGCGAATCATAATCATATAGTTACAACAGTTACCTACGTAGGTAGGTAGTAGATTAAAAAAATATATACCTAAATATAAATTAAATATTCGAAAGAGGACTACGGAAAGTTCCTATGTTCCTTATAAGCATTAAGTAGGTTACAACAATACATTTTACGAGGTGTTGAGGGCACAGACCAAGTATCTTTATACTAGTATCTTTATTTTATGGCACGGACTAAGATATTTCTGTGATAAAACTAAGATATACCTTAGTCCGTGGTTGGGGCCGAATATATTATAGAGAATCTTCTTTACATTGTGGGGCCGAATAAGTAATGATTGTATTATCGCTTATCAGTGTTTGTTATCACAGATTATATAATTTTCATCATAAATTATTAATTATTAATTAATAACTTCGTTTTTATACCGAACATTTAACAAAAATTTAAAATCAAAAAATAATAATCTCTATTATAGTACATTGAAAATAAATAAGCACAAGTGTAGTTAAATTTATTTTTCGCGTTACGTCCGATAGACAAGTAGGTATACTAACCAATAATTAGCGTATAAACTCTAAATGTAACATGTATAGATATTTATAATTAAAATTCCTTATACCTATATCTATTTAAAGTGTTGTAAAACTAAACAAACAATTGTTTATTTAGAACAATATTAAAATGCCTAAAGATGCACCACCAACAAAGAAAATTAAGAAAGCAAACCCCGAAATTAGCTCTGCAAAAACCAGTAATTTTTTGGACGATGTGGCTGCTGAACGCAAAAAAGTATGTGTAAAATACATTCTAATTAAAATTTGTTTTTAAATTTAAACATAAAAATGAATATTTTACAGACAGCCACATCAGTAATGGAATTTAAATTCAACAAAAAACGTGTGCGTGTATTGTCTAAAACTTCAGAAGTTCCCGAATGGGCCGATGGAGTTATCTATTGGACCTTCCGAGATGAACGTATTCATGGTAAATTAAAAATTTAATAGTATAACATACGGCAGTATGTCCCTTATTTATCCCTATTTTTTTATATTGCTGTTTTTTTTTTTTAGATAACTGGGCATTGCTTTATGCGCAAAAGTTAGCAATCAAAAATAAAGTTTCTCTACACATTACGTTCTGTAGACTGACTAAATTCTTGGATTGTAGTTTACGACACTATAAACATATATTTCAAGGTTAAACTGCGAGTATTTATTCATACTTTATTAAACCCTGAAATTAGTTTAACAATTATGGTGTGCTATTTAATTTATTTAATTCTTACCTTTGGGCATATTTTTTTAATATAAAATTAATAATGTATATCCACCAATATTATAGTTGAATAGTTTATAGTTCTTATTTATACTAGTTAGTTTATATACTAATTAAACAAAAAAATGTATAATTATAAGATTAAATTTGTTTCATTTAACAAAAAATAATTCATTTTTTTTACTTTTAGGTTTAGAAGAATTAGAAAATGAATGTAAAACATTAAATATTCAATTTCATTTCTTAATTGGTTCTGCAGCAGAAATATTACCTGATTTTGTTAAAAAACATAAATTAGGTGCAGTCGTTGTAGACTTTATGCCTGTTCGTGAACATATGTTATGGACCCAACAATTAGCTGATAGTATTGGATCTGAAATTCCAGTTGTTCAGGTTGATGCCCATAATATCGTTCCTTGTTGGGTGGCTTCGGATAAACTAGAATATGCTGCAAGAACAATACGAAATAAAATCAATAAGAACCTTCCAGAATTTTTAACAGAATTTCCACCAGTGATTAAACATCCATTTAGTGGTAAACTTAAAACTCAAGTATGGAGTATAGAACTATTAAAATGATTAACCAAAAATATTCCAAAATAACAAGTTATTTCATTTGTAATTATTATTATTAGCCAACAAATTGGAACGATGCTGACAAAACTCTTCAAGTCGATCGTAGTGTTTTACCTGTCCCGGGTCTTAAGGCAGGTTTCAAAGCTGGTATGAATGAGTTGGATAATTTTTTGAAGAAACGATTATCAAAGTATTCAACAGATCGAAACAATCCTGTAAAAGACGGACTTAGTAATCTTTCACCTTGGTTACATTTCGGTCAGTTACAAAAGGGTTTTAAAATAATTTCTTTTGTACATGATATTACTATTTATAATAGGTCAGATATCAGCACAAAGATGTATCTTAGAAGTTAGTAAATTTTCTAAAATGTATCCGGAGAGTGTTTTAGCATATAGAGAAGAAACAATTGTTCGCCGGGAACTTTCAGACAATTTCTGCTTTTATAATCCAAAATATGATAGCATTGAGGGTGCACCAAACTGGGCTCAAGTTACCTTGAATGATCATAGGTATGTCCTATATATAATGATATATTTGATCTTCAATTATACATTTCTTTTATTTATTTAGAAAAGATAAACGGAAGTTTGTATACACAAGAGAAGAATTGGAAAAATCACGTACGTATGATGATTTATGGAATTCAGCACAAATTCAGTTAGTGAAGGATGGTAAGATGCACGGTTTCTTGCGTATGTACTGGGCAAAGAAAATATTAGAATGGACAGATACTCCGGAAAGAGCACTAGCTGATGCAATATATCTCAATGACAAATATAGCATGGATGGTCGCGATCCAAGTGGTTTTGTTGGTTGTATGTGGTCTATATGCGGTGTTCATGATCAAGGATGGAGAGAACGAGAAATTTTTGGAAAAATTAGATTTATGAACTATGATGGGTGTAAAAGAAAATTTGATATAAATGCCTTTATAGCTAGGTATGGTGGCATGGTTCACAAATACACTAAAAAATAAATATTGTACAAATATTTATTTATAGTATTATTTTTATACCAGTTCAATTTAAATTTGTATACCTTTTTTTGATATAATTAATTGTTACTACAGCACAGTATTATTTTTGTGAGCAATCATTCAAAATTTGATTTTTATCATTAATAATTATAAACATCAAATCCTTATTTGATGAAAATATGAACTTAATTTTTTATATTTTATGAAAAATATTTTGTTAAATTTTTACTTAATAAAAATGTATACACTTTAATGATTTGATTTGATACACAATATATTTCTATCTTTCAGTTTTTTTTTTTTTCTAAAATCTTTCTAGTGTACCAATATATAAGTATTTAAAATCAATCATTTATTACATATTTGTCATGATTTTATGAAAATAAATAAGGTTTTTAGGGAGGTAATTTTTTTGATTTCTCCAGGGGTTTTCATAGTAAATGGGAAAAAACCTATTTGTTTTTAAGTGGAACATTTGTAAATGTACACATTTTTGTATTTTTATCAAATGTATTTATATTCAAAATTTAACTTTAAAAGCTTATAAACATAATTACTACAATATACTCGATTTTTTTTGGATTCTGAATGGAGCGAGGAATGTATTGGTTTCTATTATAAAATAGGTTTAATACTAAATAAATATTTTATTAATACTTTATTTTATACCAAAATAATGCTTTTATTATTTTTAATTTTGTTTTTTGTTGTAATTATGTTAAAAATATTCGTAGAGACTTGAAATTTGGACAGAAAACTTATACTTATATTTTTTAGACGTGGTAAAATTTCCAAAACATTTAAGGTATTTTCAAGCTATAGACATTTTAATTATCCGAGGTTTTTACTTAACTTATATTTGGATAGATATTTGGGTAGATACAATTATTGGACTAAAATGCTTGAATATGCTTGAATTTAATAATAGAAAGTTTATTATATGTTGTACTTTGTGATAAAAAAAAAAATGAGATCAATGAAGTAATTTTTTTAATAAGGATTTTATTATAAAATTTTAAAGAAAATCGCAAACATTATGGCCTTTCAAAACATGTAAACTACCAACTTTCACTCCAAATCGTTTTTAGTTAGCAATAGCTCATCGTTGCTTACGGATATAAATTAAATAACTTAATGTATTCTATCTTTATAACTTCCCACAGAAAAAAGGGGCACACCCGTTCCCAGTATCAGCACTTTTTTACCTTCAAACCATAATCCCTACTCTGGTATGATTGCTGTACCAAATAATAAAAGTTTTACGTTTTTGGCACAAAAATATATCATTGCTGTTGAGTGCTTGTCTGTGTAGGTGGTATGCCAATAAGGCTAGTATCCTATACCTACTAATAAATACCTTGGGGCGCTTCCAAGTTCTAACAGTACTTACCAGACCAATACATTAATATAGAACAAAAATAATAATGGTATAAAATGACAAGAATGTATAAGTGCCTATACTACCTATATGCTTTCAATATGATTTTTTCCTTAGATTTTGAGTGCAGCGAAGAATGTCTACCAGAAAGTTTACTCCGATATATACAATAAAAACCGGAAAATGTACCAATTATATTAGTAAAATATTACAATTTTTTTTTTTTTGTGGACAACTTTTCTACAAACAATTTTGGTCCGATTTACAATGATAGCACTTTTTCTAAAAGTAAATCTAACTAGGGAGGTACTTTAGACAGATCATTTTTCGATTTTCTCGTGAGGTTTACCAGCAAATGTGAAAAATCGATAAAAACATGGGAAAATCGCTACAATGTTAAACAAATATTATTAAAGAAAATAATATATAATGTCTATTTAATTATTTTACCTATATTATATTGTTAACAAAGCATCATTATCAACTGAACTTTGTTCAGAATATTTTTTTCACTAGCAATAGTTTATTGTTGCATATATACATTAAATTCCCTTCTGAATTCTACTTTCCCAACTTTCCACTTATAACAAAAGCTGCATTCACGTGCGAAGTATGTCCGTCTTTTTTGTGTCTGTGATTAACTTATCTACCAGGAATCTTGCTTCAATCGTAAAATTACAAGATACCTGTTTTGTTAGATTTTAGATGCAGTTGGTGCATTGAAGTGATCATTTTTAATTTTACTAACTGTTTTGATAAAAATCACGAATAACTGGAAAAAAAACGTAAAAGAAAAATGAATAGATTTATAGCGTAACAATTTCTTTATTCAATATTTTTTGGATTTGATTTCAATTTTCTTTAAAGTAAGTAATGTTTGTTTTTTTTGGAAAACGTCATCTAAAAAAACTCATTATAAATGGGACGTGAGCTCATGATATTATACTTGCATAGTCATAGCGACCGTGACCTTTATTTTTGTTTACAAATTTAAGTATTTTAATGTGATAGTACTCGAAAGACAATAAAAAGTTTTGAAAAATTTAAATTACTCATATTATCAATTTAATATGGGCTTGATGAGAAAAAAATGTCAGGAAGCAAATTTTTTAAAAAACCTTAAAAATACTTCTCAATATTGTTTTGCTTACCGTCATTTTTTTTCTGCCGGTTTTTAATATACAGGTAGGTATAGCTATAACAAGTATCGTATAATACAAGAAAAGTTCCAATACTACAGTCTAATGTTTGTGAATAAATATATAAGTAGTTTATACAATTTAATTGTTATTGATGATTACTAACTTTTTAAATAATAGAGATTTCGATGAGTTGGTCACCTATTTGAACTCTAATTGACGGACCGTGAAAGAGTCGAGGAGTGTAGGGGCTTTGTATAACCTTAAAATTATTTGGATGAAGGGGGGTTCATGATTAATTCCTAAATACGTTACTGATCGCAGGGGTCATCATCCCGCCGGAGAGTAAAAATAATAGCCGATTCGCACCTAAATACTGACGGTGAAAAGTTTGGCATAAAATCAAAACCTTTCCGACATTTGTGGTGCGCCACCATGTCTTAAATTTTATTCTTAATGGATAAAAACTCTAACATTCCGATTTGTACAGTATGTTTTCCCGTTAATTTTAATGGTTTTTTAAAAACAAATTTCACGATTATACTCTTTATTATATCATTATACATGCGCGCACTAAATGTTGAATTTTCATCTTTCTAATGACGTAGTTAGAATTGCCTACATCCGACCCCTTAAATATTGGACTTGTGACATTCTAATATACACGTCATAAACGCCTCGTACGATTAGCCAGTCCTCGTCGTACGTCAAAAACGCAGTTTAATTAACGGACATATGGAAAAATGAAAAAAAAAAATCTAAGTAGCTGTGGTTTTATTTTTATGTCTGCTATGTTTTCAACAGATTTTGTAAACAATTTTTTATTTGTTTAATTTTCTAACGGCGCAGCGGATCTGTTTTCGATTGAAATATGAGCACAACGTAAAAATTATAAATTCCAATACTTGTTAATTAAGTATAGCAGGAGTGGATTTATTTTTGTACAGTTATAGTCGGATTAATGAAGAAGGAAATGAGCAGACTTATACATTATGTCAATATTATTAAACTGTTAAAATAAAATATAGTGCTAGTAGAGCTTTGTAGTAAAAAATTAAGCCAAATATTTAATCCTTTTCAATGATTACCTATAATATACACCCTTTTGTATAATAAAATAGTATGTATATAATATGCATTACATTTTATTTAAACGGTAATATTAACACGTACCTATATATTTATTTATTTTTTATTTTTTATTCATTATTTATTCTTTCAAAAAGATTATAGACCCCACTGAACAAATATTTAGGGAATCATAATTCATAAACATTAATAAACCTATGGTAAATTAGCATAAAAGTAATGTAATGGTAATGGAAATAATTATTTTAATTTAAAAATGTGTCCTCTTTTTATTCATTGGCAAGCAATTTTATTAAATTTTCGTAAGGTAACGAAAAAAAAGGATTCGGTTCAATTCACAGAATTTCTAAACTACTTAATCTTTCCTTTTTTATTTGTGATGTAAGTAAGGTTTTGTCAGCTCTAAACATAAAATAAAGCTGATACTAGGGATGGGAGCGGCCATTGTTGTAGATGAGAGGTTGGAAAGGTAGGATATATAAGGTTATTTTATTTATATCTGTAAGTAACAATAAACCATTGCTTAACAAAAGATGATTCCGACCGCAGTTTAGTAATATATAATTTAAAATGTCGTATTTTTTTTTTTATGATTTTCATTTAAATTTAATTTTAAAACGCTTAATAAAAAAAAAGTTCAATTATTTTGGAAATTTTACCATGTCTAGGTAAGTCCAATATAAGTATTATTACCAAGTTTCAAGTCTCTACGTGTATTTATAACCGAATTGCAGCAAAACAACTCCCAAAAATTAAAATTACTTAAGAGCTCAAAAGTAGCTCAAAAGTTTTGGCGATGATACAGTAGGAAAGTAAATCAAAAAGGCAACAAAAAAGGTATCTTGTGATTTTTCGATTAAATCCACTTAAGTGGTAAAAAATTTTAAATTTTATTTTAAAAAATGGCGTCGAAAATCAAAAAAATTTCCTCTCTAAGGTTAGGTAGGTAAGGTTAAGTAAGTACCATTTAAAAAAATTGAACTTTTAGAAAAGTTGCTACACGTAAAAATCCGGGCAAGTTTACTAGGAAAAAACGTGTCCACAAGACTAGAAGAAAAAAAAGAAATAAACATTTCAGTAAAACCAATAGCTCTCTCGCTACGCTCGGAATCTAAAAAAACGTTAAATACGTTAAATAAAAAACGTGTTAATAATTTTTTACTAGCATACCTACTAAAATGCATATGGCATAAATCGCATAAATCAGTAACTGATTTAAAGACACTGTTTTTTTAAACCGCTTACATGATTGAAAAACTGACATATGTTCTTTGTTTTTAATGTAGACTTGAAAATTAATATATTCATTTTGAAAATTTTTTTCGTGGTCTTTGTGATATATTTGTCGTACATTTTTCGCAAATTCTAAAATTTCATCAATACTGTGCATACTCTTTTTTCAACTTACCAATGATAGAAATCGAGAATGAAAAGTATACATATTTACAGTCAAAAATTACTGTTTCTTAATTTATGATTCTGATCAAAATTGTTCATTTCCTTTCAATTTTGGTTCTTTATTATTTGTTTAAAATTTTCGCTTTTATTTT